TAGCAGACACTTTTATCCAAAGCGCTTTACAAATGAGAACAATAGAAGCAGTTAAACTAACAATAGGACAATATGCAAGTGCTATGACCCTTCCCAGTTTAATCTAACGCAGTACATGTACTTTTTAAAAAAAATTATAAAGATAATAGATATAGAATAGAAGATAAAGTGTTAGTATTAATGGATCAAGTGTTGCCGAAAAAAAGATGCGTCTTCAGCCGTTTTTTGAATATGGTCATGGACTCAGCAGCTCTGGTTGAGTTGGGCAGGTCATTCCACTGACCAGCATGGAACAGACCAAAAAAGGTCAGAGAAAGAGATTTTGTGCCTCTTTGAGATGGCACCACAAGACGGCGTTCACTTGCAGAGCGCAAGTTTCGGGATGGCACGTAAGTCTGAAGTAATGATTTAGGTAAAAGAGAGCAGAGCCAGTGGTTGTTCTGTAGGCAAAAGTCAGTGACTTGAATTTGATGCGAGCGGCAACTGGCAACCAGTGCAATTTTGTGAGGAGAGGAGTGACGTGTGCTCTCTTCAGCTCGTTAAAGACCACTCTAGATGCAGCATTTTGGATCAGTTGCAGAGGTTTGATAGTGCAAGCTGGAAGACCTGCCAGGAGAGCATTACAATAGTCCAGTCTGGATAGAACAAGTGTTTGGACAATGAGTTGTGTAGCATGCTCTGATAGGAAGGGCCTGATCCTCCTAATGTTGTATAAGGCAAATCTGCAGGACCGGGCAGTTCCAGCAATGTGGTCTGTAAAGTTCAATTGATCATCAATCACAACTCCAAGGTTCCTGGCTGACCTTGATGGAGTTATGGATGACGAACCTAGCTGAATGGAGAAGTTGAGATGAAGTGTTGGGTTGGCCGAGACCACAAGCAACTCTGTCTTCGCAAGGTTTAGTTGAAGGTTGTGGTCCTTCATCCAGCCAGAAATGTCTGTCAGGCAGGCTGAGATGTGAGCAGCAACCGTCGGATAATCAGGCTGGAATGAGAGGTAGAGTTGTGTGTCATCAGCGTAGCAGTGATAGGAAAAGCCATGTTTCTGAATCACAAATCCTAGTGACGTCATGTAGATGGAGAAGAGAAGTGGTCCAAGCACTGAGCCCTGAGGCACCCCAATAGCTAGATGTTGGGTCTTAGACACCTCACCCCTCCATGACACCCTGAAGGACCTAACTGAGAGGTAAGACTTGAACCATTGTAGGGCGGTTCCTGAGATGGCCTTCGTCTTTAAAATTGACAGGAGGATCTGGTGGTTAACTGTGTCAAAGGCAGCAGACAGATCCAGCAGGATGAGAAGTGAGGATTTGGAAGCTGCTCTTGCCAGTCTCAGAGCTTCAATTACCGAGAGCAGGGCAGTCTCAGTTTAGTGTCTGCTTTTGAAACCAGACTGGTTGTTGTCCAGGAGGTTGTTCTGTGTAAGAAAGGAAGATATCTGGTTGAAAACAACTCGTTCAAGTGTTTTCGCGACGAATGGAAGAAGGGATACCGGTCTGTAATTTTCCAGATGTGCTGGATTTAGAGTGGGTTTCTTAAGCAGTGGGGTTACCCGAGCCTGCTTAAATGCTGTGGGAAAAGTACCAGTGTGAAGAGAGGTGTTTATGATGTGCGTGAGTGCGGGTACAACTGATGAAGAAATGGCTTGAAGTAGATTAGTGGGAATAGGATCAAGCGGACAGGTAGTAGGGCGATTGGAAAGGAGGAGTCTGGAGACTTCTGCCCCTGAAAGCAGAGAGAAGGAGGGTAGCATGTGTGTGTTAGCTGGTAAGATGTGTGTCAGTTTGTGGTATGGTAAATTGGCTGCTGATGGTGGTTGTTTTATTTATGAAGAATGTGGCAAAATCGTCAGCTGTTAGGGTTGATGAAGGAGGAGGAGGGTTGAGAAGAGAGGAGAAGGTTTTGAAAAGCATGCGAGAGTCAGAAGAATTGTTAATTTTGTTGTGATAGTAAGTCATTTTAGCAGTAGAGATATTAGCAGAGAAAGAAGAGAGGAGGGATTGATAAAGACCAAGGTCAGTAGGATCTTTCGATTTGCGCCACTTCCTCTCTTCACCTCTGAGTTTAGAATGATGTTCGTGGAGAACATCAGATAACCAGGGGGCAGAGGGGGTGCCGCAGGCTGGCCTGGAGGAAAGGGGGCAGAGGTTGTCCAAGCAGGATGTTAAAGTGGAGAAAAGAGTATCAGTTGCACTGTTAGTATCTAGTGTTGAGAGCTGATCAGGTGGATCACCAAAGAGATTTCAGCTCGTGAGCACAGTAAACAAACACTGTTTCCTAGTGACTACAACTGCACTTTAAAACAAATGAGAAAAAGATACAAAACACTTACAGTTACTGTCACCTCCTGTTGCTTGACTGCTTCTTTCTGATTCAAGATCTGTGATAGGTATCAGCGTCAAGATCTGTGATAGGTATCAGCGTCAAGATCTGTGATAGGCTGACTAAAAAATGATTTATGAGGACTGAGAAATGGAGAGGTCCAGCCAAAGAGAGCTATTCTTTAGCTCCGAGATTGGTAATGCCAATACCTATGATATTACAAAGACAAGTTCACAGTAAATAATTATTGTTGGCTTAACTTAAAAAAGTAAATAGCCTGGTTGTCTTAAAAGGAGAAGTTTGGTTTAATCAACAGAAACCCACCTCCTCCTTGTCGTGTATAACGTGGCATTTGCTTTTCTGTCATCGTTGCTGCTCTGTTCATATGGGGGAATAGTTCTGCTCTCCCAGTACTAAACTGTGAGCGTTCCCTAATGCTGCTGCTGTCCTCTGACTCTCTGCTATTTCATGGTGCTCATGAAAGGTCAGAGGACTCCCTGAACAGCCATACCGCCAAATTTTAATTATCAACTTGAATTCCAATTTATTCAATACAATTTCCTAATCATTTATTGTCATGTGTGTTCTTGACTTAATGGACCTCTAAGTTTATTTGACAAAAGAAAAAATGTTGTGATAACAAATCATGAAAATATTTTTTACAGGGAAATAATTTAACTTTTCATTGAACTAAAGTCAAAACTTTGGTAACACTTTATTTAAATCCTATATATATAATGTATTTTAATGCATTAATTATGCCCTGTAAAGCACCTTGTAATGCATTGTATGGTCTCATGAATAATTGTAACCACAGTTATAATAATTCTTATCTATTGAACACACCTTTAGAAAGTATAACGCATTAAAACACGAGAAACAACCAATTTCAAGGAATCTGCTAATATTACAATGCATTTTAACTTTAGTTACAATTATTTATTAAAATATATAATGCATTATAAGTTTTATAAAGAACATTATGAATACCTTTAAAATGCATTATACATAATAGCTTTTTGTTACCATTTTCACTTACTGTTAAAAACTATGGCTGTTAAAATAATAATTGTCTGATGATTTAAAATTAAACAATTATATACGATTTGGTCATTTAAATTACGATGTTAAACATATTTTGGTAACACTTTACAATAATTTATAATTTTATTAATGTATACATTGAGAATTTAATACAACTTTTGACTCAAAAGATAACATTAAATAAGAATAATTAATGCTATAGAATTATTGTTATTTGTTAGTAAGTTTAACCAATGTAGTTAACTAATGAAGGGATAAATGATAGATAGATAGATAGATAGATAGATAGATAGATAGATAGATAGATAGATAGATAGATAGATAGATAGATAGATAGATAGATAGATAGATAGATAGATAGATAGATAGATTTTTATAGAAGCTAAAACTAAACACAGTATGGGCTAAAGCAACACCTAAACAAGGTCTATAATTGCCTCTGTTTTACTAATAACTGCAATAAAATCTGTATATTTCAGTATTTCAGTGCCGCATAGTTATTAAGTTAGACACACTCTATCGATTACGAGGTAATTTAAATGAACCAATGAATAAGGATGCAACTGGCTATATCAGAGCCAGAGTGTTTTTAAGAACAGACAGAAAAAGAAAAGGAAGCACTTCCTTTTAAAACCCAACCTCAGCATCCATCATTTCTTTATGCCAGCTGGTCCAGCTAATTTTCGTGAGATCGTAAGGTGAGTGGAACAGCACAGCTGCTGCATACTGAGAGGGAGGGGAGGTAGTGGGCACATTAGAAACACACACACACACAGACACACACTCAGGCATGCAGCCCTGTAGCATGCAATCATCCAGGTGCTGGAATAAAACAGCTAATTTTGCATTCTAAATTCTGCGCTCTACTGACCCCCACGGTGGGCCATGCAGCAGACCCTCCTCTGCACGTAAACGCAGTGAGTCAGAGACACTGTGAGCTTAAAATGAGCTGCTAATCAACCGCAACACACACAAACACACACACACACACAGGTTCTGTTGATTCGGTGACAGTTTAAACTGGCATTTGTCCCCTTTCTGCACAAAAACAAAAGCCTGGGTCATCAGTCTGCTGCTCACCATTAACAATTTATGCCGTAGATGCTCTAGAAATTCAGTCCCAAGGATGACTGTGCACAGAATCCTTTTTGCTTGAGTCAGTGCACAAGGGCTGTCTACATGAATGTTGCAAAGTGAAATGGTGTGTTTAAATCTGAGGGGACTCTGCATGTCCAGTGGTGCAGAAGAAATCCACTCAATACCACTAAAAATGCTAGGGTCTGATGATTTTGGAGTGTGTGATTGCTTTCAGTACATGGTCAATAAAGTCATCATATGTATGAGTACAGTTGTAAGAATGCATATCTTACATCTTGTTACAGTTTAGCCTCTCAATTGGCATTTTAAATCTGAAGAAAATACTGTAATATTGGATTTGCACAAAGTTGAACATTTCTCAGTGTTATAATGCTTTCAGCGCTTGTTCCGCTCTGCAATCTCAGAAAATCTCCAGTGCAAGCATGACATTCAGCTTCAAAAGAGAATGATTGAAAATATACACTCAACTCCTTGTTGGGTACATGTTTGGTAGCAATTGTATGTTTAATAAAATGTAAAAGTGTATTCTGTGTCACTTGCCTCTCCTGCCGGGTCTGCTCAGCTGTGGTCTCCATGGCACACTCCAGAGAGCTCTGGAGAGACTGCAGCTGACTGGTGGTCTCCTTCAACAGGAAACGGGTCACAAACTGCTCCAGATGTGTGGCTTCCTGGTAGTCCTGTAGATTAAATGCACAGTTTTCATTGTCATTGCTGCAGTAGAATGGGCTTTAAACATACACTGGTCTATTAGGCAGAATGTTAATTTTATTGTTTTAATTTTACTAATATTTAAGTATGTAATGTATAATTAATATATAATAGCATTCAAATAGTACGATTTTTTACTGTTTTCTATTATCTTATGTTCACCTGCATTTTTTAAATATTATTACAATTTCAAATAACTGTTGTCTATATTAATATATTTTCAAATGTAATTTATTCCTATGATGGCAAAACTGAATTTTCAGCATCATTACTCCAGTCTTCAGTGTCACATGATTCTTCAGAAATTATTCTAATATGCTGATTTGCTGCTCATCAATCTTATTATCATCAATGTTGAAAAAAGTTGTGCTGCTTAATATTTTTGTGGTAACCATCAGAGAGGTGTTTTTATTACTCAACAGGTGAGTAAGGTATTTTATTGAACAGATAAATTGCCATATGTAGCTCTCTAGCAGAGTTTGTTGTAAAGCATTATATATTGTGTAGGGTCATATTCATCTGCACCGTCATACAGAACCGAAGCGCAATGTTCTTCTGAAATTCATAGAGGCTAGAGGGTCATAAGTTACATAGTGTACCTTTAAGAATATAACTAGGCTATCTCAAACCCAAGTGCCAGAGAGCCTCTTTATCTTTTTGAATGTGATTTTGTCTCAATTCCGTATAGTCTCAAAGGCGCTGCTGCAGGGGTATGTTATTTGCGGGTGGTACATCAGTTTTTCAGCGTTAGGAATCAACAGCCGCCTGTATAATTATGTTGCGCGCCTGAGCAACCGTGTTCTGTCACTATAAGAAAAGCCATTATTAAAGCTGGGAACATCCCTCAGCTAACAGGACACAGAATTCTTGTGAGCATCCAATAATGAAACAGGTGCTGCACGTCTGTTATGAACATGTTCAAGATGTTGACATTCATAAGATAGGGAAATCCAACACATCAACCACCAACACTCATGTATTTATAAAGCGGGTTGAATGGACAGACCTTCAGAAAAACCAGCAGCGTGATTCACAGCTCTATAACCTGCAGATGTTTAACAAGCAGCGCACACAGCTAATCTTTCATTATAATCATCTTTCATAGATAATCTGACATTTTCATCAGTTTACACAACTGACAATCTTGTTGTAGCGATATTTACACACACTCACACACAACTCTATTGTTTCCAATAACTAAGGCAAGCAATCCATGTTAAAAAGATGTCATCCTCCTTATGAAAACGTCTGGAGATAAAATCATAAAATATAAAAGCAATATTTTTTTTTTATATTTGAGCTATTAATCTGTCTTAACTCTACCTGCAAACTGAAGGCAAGAGAAATTGTCTGGATGATACGAGCTACCACAATATGACATTCAGAAGTGTGGTTGCTGTTTATAGAGGTGGCCTGAGGGCAGAGACCACACGAATCCCAGCAGCTGGTTTGCGCACCCACTCATGGCCCTATTCAATAAACACAACGCTATCTGTTGCCATACAGGATAACTATCTGTTGTTGCTCATGACTAATGGAGCTCATGCATTAGAGATGTACACATTATCAAGTGGTGTGAATAGAAAGATCAAAGAAATGTGGCTCCTGATGGTTTGTTATTACACTATATATATATATATATATATATATATATATATATACACACACAGTGTATAATGCTATATATATATATATATATATACACACACACATGAATGATTTACATTATTAAAATTAAAATATATAAAAAGAGGAAATATTTTACAATATTACTGTTGTAAAACTTTGAATTACTGTATTTATGATCAAATAAATGCAGCGCATAAGAGACTTCTTTTAAATCTGTCACAACCAACAAAATCTCTGCTTGTGTGCATGAAATAAAAGATTGGCTTCATTCAAATTTTCTAAAACTTAACATGGACAAAAACTGAGATTATTTTTACTGGACCTCCGTAACTCACAAGCAAAATACCAATTTCACCTGTGAGAGAGCTGGCTCTCACATCAAACCATCTAGTACTGTTAAAAATCTTGTTGTAATCTTTGACTCCTCTCTCTCTCTTTCCAGGCTCATATTAATTCTATCACTAAATCAACATTCTTTCATCTACGTCGCATCGCCCAGCTCCGTCCCTTCCTCAGTACCAAAGACGCTGAAACTGTCATCCATGCATTTGTCGCATCACGTCTTGATTACTGTAATGGCCTTTTCATTGGTCTATCTGCTCGATCCATTTCCAGGTTGCAATACATTTGTTTTTACTGATCTTTTGCTCATTGCTGGTGGTTTAAAGATTTACGATAAAACATGGAAGCAAATGTCAGTAATCTTTCCCAAAAAAAGCCCCATTGAACTCATTAATCGTGTTTCACTTCCTCTGTCTGCCTCACTAATCAAAGAGGCATAATGAAATGATACAGCACTGCCCTTCATGCCGACGACTCAATTTCTGAGACGCTCACATGCATTAAGTGCCATGTCTGCTGGGCCTGGGGTCAGTGCTTGGATAATTCATTATCTGTGCAAGGCAGCAGAAAGTGTCTGTTAAATGGCTCAGCGGGAACTGAAGCACGCATCTCGTACCTGTGCGTTCTTCTAAGGGTCAGCGTGACTGGACTGTGCTGAATACTGATATCAGATGCTCAGACTGTTCAGACCAGAATGTCACTGCTGATAACCACCACCAATATTGGACATCTATACGAGTAAGACAGCAGTCATTAACTCAATTAATAGATTTGTGAGTGGACCATCATGCATGTCACATGAGAGATGAAGTATTTTAAAATATGGAGTTCAGCTAAGTCTAAACTGTTTTGAAGGTTATAATTACTGTGGTGCAATAACCAAGCTCATATAGTAATTTATTGAAGTTAATGACTGTGACAATCAAGTATTAAGTAATTATTGTACATAAATCATAGCTTAAATAATTAAATCTTTGCATATGAACATTTGATGGAAAATTGAGGCCAGTGTTGGAAAGTTACAACCCAAAACTATCGACATTACTAACTACACTTCTCAGGTATGCAAGAGTATTTAGTAACAAAATAGTGTAGTTTTTCTTATAACAAGTTACAAGTATCAATGTAGTGTGAGAAAAATGTTTGTCACTTTGTTTCCATCCTATTTGTGGATATGGAAGTAAGTTATTTCCTATGAATATCAAGACTTCAGATTCATTAGCCGCTATGGGTAAATAACTAGAATAACAAAGTACACAAAAGCATGGTTGTTCAATGACAATAAAAGTATTCTATTCTATTTTATTGCACTACAAACCAGTGTGTTTATGATAAAGATAATAAATTAAAATAATATGATAAGAAATACCAGTTTGCAACATCAAGCAGCATAACGGACGGTTTTTTTTTATAAATAGTTAATAGTTTTAGTTAACAATTATATACATAAAAATTGTTGTTTTTGTTTCAAATAAATGCAAAGATGTTCGATTGTTTATAAACAGTATATTGTTCAGCTATTTCAAACTTCTTTGTACCCCTTAGTGAAGAACAAGATCTACACCGTATTTTGTAAGTTCCTCAAAGAACAGCCACATAATTGTTTGATTTTGAGATTTTAGGTTAGATTTATTATATATTATCTTGACAAATAAGACTCAATTTAGCTGGTACATCTACTGTAACAAAAACCGGAAATGAATAATGAAAAATGAATAAAGTACTTTATCTTATTGAGATCAATCACCATCATAATCATGTTGAGGACAGAGAGGCTGTGAGCAGCATGGCTGTTTGTGTCAGACAAATGTGAGTCTGAGCTAGTGCAGATCCATCTTCATCCACTCTAAAAGTTCCCACAGCTTTATTACGAAAATTACACATCTAACGGCTGCATTAGGGGCCAGGGAACATGTTGTGAGTGATTATGATAAGACGCTGAAAGCCTCCAGGATACCCAGATAAATACACAATGTTCAAGTACACTTAACTACCATTTTCAATCAGAGGAAGATGAGACAAACATTAGACAAGAAAACAATTTTCCTTCTTTTCTCATAGAAATAGTTTCAGTCAACTATGTAATTGAGATCATGTCCATTTGTTGAATATAAAGGAGGTAAGAAGGCAACCCACCTTCTTGGTTTTGTCCATGGCTTTCAGTATGGATACGTTCAGGTCTTCCAAGGCGGCAAGGACATTTTCATATTCTCCAAGATGCTGAGAGAAGTATTCTAAGAGAAAAGAAAACCCATTTCAAATACATATGATAATGTTTTCATAAAAGCATCAGCAAAAACATCCACAAATTCTAGAACGTCAATTAAAATAATGTCATATTTTGTTATTTTGTTTTACATTTATGCATTAGCATATAATTTGATTTTCTCTAGAATATATTCTCACTGTTCAAAGCAAATTAGCATTTGAGATCTACTGTAATATTTGTGTATACATTGCATATACCCCATGCAAAATGTACATATAAACCTAATGTTTACACATTGTAATACTTTACTTCATTAGTTACTTTCTTCGCTTCACTTAATTTTAAAAGTTTATTATTTATTCTATTTTAATATTTTTATTAAAATGTATTCATGTGATGGCAAAGCTGAATTTTAAGCATCATTACTCCAGTCTTCAGTCACATGATTATTCAGAAATCTTTCTAATATTGATTTGGTGCTCATCAATCTTATTATCATCAATGTTGAGCTTTTTTTTTCAGGATTCTTTTATGAATAAAAAATCAGCATCCACTTGAAATTTAAATATTTTGTAACATTACAAATATTTCTGTCACTTCTGATCAATTGAATGCCTTGCAGAATAAAAGTGCTATTTTCTTTTTCTTTCTTTTTTTTTATCTTACTGACCCCAAACTTTTCATATATAAATTATTACATACAAGTGATATTAGACATGTTTATATAAAAAAGTATATTACTTTACAAGCCAAACATAATTTTAATAGAAAATATAAAAAAGAAAAGATACCCAAGATAGAACCCTCTGGATAGCCAGTCTATAAAAGAGCCTAAAATATCCTATCTTTAACTTCAGTATTTGTGAGTGTCTCAAATTTCCTTTATAACAGGGTTACTGGAAGAACAGTTGACAGTCTTCAGAGTTCTTGCAGGATCTTGTGGGTCCCTCAGTGAACTGCCATTTTTGAACTTGTCTTAAGAACCCCAAATGGTGCCTCAACTATCATTTCATCATAGCTGTGAACATAAAACCTCCCAGTAATAATGCCAATAAAAAGTGTTAACTCTTACCACACAGCTCATCCGTGTCCACATTCCTGTAAGCAGACCATAAACAGACATGTTAATTTCATTTCCAGTTAAAAGACATGTGACTTGCGTCTAAATGTGATCTAATCTTCTGTGGTGATTTTTAAGATGCATCTTGCTCAAAGGCAGGTCCTTTGGGAGTGCGATGTTTGCCTAATGAGAGCGGGTCATCTTAAGACAACTAGACTCTAACACTACATAACAGCCACCAGGCAAACACTGTCAACTCCATGTCTCAACCCTGCTCTGATTAGAGGCTCAATGCCGTGAGGAAAAGTCATCATCTTACAGGCTGAGAATATAAAAAGTCAGAATGTAATGTGTCCTAATGCATAGAATAAACTTTCCTACTGTGATTTTCAGACTTTGAAGCCAGTAATGTATAAGGGTCATTCACACTAAACAGTGCACACATGAACTAACCATGCAATACATGTGTTACAGTATTTATTAATCTTTGTTAATATTAGTTAATAAAAATACAGCTGTTCATTGTTTGTTCATGTTAGTTCACAGTGCATTAACTAATGTTAACAAGATTTTAATAAAGTATTAGTAAATGTTCAAATAACATTAACAAAGATTAATAAATGCTGTTTAAGTGCAGTTCATTATTAGTTCATGCTAACTAATGTAGTTAACTAATGTTAACTAATGAACCTTATTGTAAAGTGTTACCAAAATATTTATATAATATTTTAAAAAATATATTGTAAAAAAAAAAATCACTATGTTTATATGAATCCATAATGTAGTCATAAATGGGAACATGCAAATTGGTTGAAAGGTAAAATTTGTGTTTTATTTTACTTTCGCACTTAACATCAAACAGCATTTTTATCAAGAGAAATATGCCACATTTAACAGCAATTTCTATTAGCTTCACACAGTGACAGTGATTAGCGCTTTTAATCATTTTTCCAGCACAGAGGCTGAACGATTTTCAGCATTTGGCAGTTGTAGAAGCGATGACTGGATTCTTTGGGTTTCTGCAGTCTAGAGCAGTGCATGGTTCCCCAACCTTTTTTCCAGGAGACCCCTAATTTAACAATCAAAATTCTTAAAATGGCTCTAGAGGATACTAGAAGATGGCTCTAAAGGAAAAAATAACTATTGCTAGACTTGGATAAAACACAGAGGGCTTGGCGTCAAAGCTGAACTGTTAACTGACTGAGCTAGACCTCATAGCGGGAGGTAAAGTCTTCGATAAACATACAAAGACAACACATCAATAAGGCCTTAAGTACCACCAGCTGTACACTGTCAATAATTTTCATATTTCATCTCATTTCTTCTCTCCCCCAAGACATTAGAGTAAAAAGCATTACGAGCAACAGGGATTGAAATTATCTTTAAAATGGGATGAAATCACTATCATTTAGTTTACCTTTTTACATTTACATAAAACCCTGAGCTCTTTTCACATCTAAAGATTAGACTTTAATACTGGATAATAATGAATAATGAATTCTGCTGAGAAAATGTTTTCAAGGAATTCTCCTTCCAGGTTCCTCTGGCTATAACCAATGAATTGCGATAATCAATATCCATGAGAGAATAAATGCAGGACACCTAATCTTACACGATTTCATATAATTGTCACTTTCCTGAGAAAAAATAATCAGGTTTATATTTTACACTTATGATCCCCATCTATCATAATGAATAATTGATGCTTGGCCAAAAACCAATTGTGCTAAGGGGAAGAGCCAACCATAATGTTGGCACAGGAAAGTGATTTTTCCTTTGAAATACTACATCAAACCAAATCTGCCCCGGCCACACACAATGAATAGAAAATAAAATCAGAAGCACATTCTCATCAAACACAAAGGGAGCATGTACCAGCCAGGAGAGCTGCTGCTATGGAAACCAAGATGACTTTAAGTGACATGGAATCATTCCGCAAGGAGGTAAAAGTAAGATAATAATCTGCTCCTTATAACATATGCTACACAGACTTGCTATAGTTGCACTTAATCACTATTCACTACATAGACATATAAATATTGGCAAACACACACATCAACAAGGACCATTGACATGGCTGTGTCTAAGAAGCCAGAGGCACGATAAGAATCAGTCTGACAAGAGTCCCTCGGGTTTGAGAGACAGCACACCCTCGCCCTCAGTGACTGTTACTCACACCAGATGCTGTAATGACATCATCAGGACAGAGTTGCTGCTGGGTGGAAGTCTATATGGTTGGAGGTCTATGACTCCTGTAGGTGTGCTAATGCATAGTCAAAATCACACAGCAAGAAAAATGGCAAGAATACTGTAAAAATACTTGAAGCCCCATTTAGTGTTCTAATCTCTATAGTATTTGCGGTTATTCATATGTATACTGTAGCTGGGAGTTGACTCCAAAAAGATTCAATTCTTTGACTCTTTCAGGTAAACTGACTCAGTTGAGGGGCATTAATCCTGACTGTGTTCATTAATTACAATTCATTCACTGATTCGTTCATTACGCCAGTAGGAGGCAATCAGTTAATTTCTTTGAATCATTCATTTACTTGAACACATTCTTTTTCTTACCAATCAAGAAAATTAGTCTGGAATCAAGTCTTGAAATTAATTCTAGAGACTAGCCCTATTTGTATTTAACAGCTCTGTTTATACGTAAAAGTGTGGTTTACCTAGTGTTGTAGTACTCTTGATCCAAGTCTCATACCATATTTTTGTGGTCTTGTGCTTGTCATGGACTCGGTTTCAACTCAAGACTCGAGTTCAAGTTAGGTTTTCACCAGCCATTCATAGTAAGTATAAACTAAGTTTATACTTAAATTGAAATGTAAAGTCCACACTAGAGACTTAGAAACTACTAGCTAGTTTGTCACTAACTTACTTGATTTGGTTGCACCGTTAGATCTTAAGGCATAGGGTATCTAGTAGTTCATTTACCTTCAATAATCCAATAGCAGCCTTCAAATTCATGAGCAGAAGCTATGTAGAAACAGCACAAATATGTAACGTCTGAGAGGCGAGGCAAAGTGGATCTATTTGCAGCACTTTGCTATAATAAACAAAACAAAATGAAAATACACTGTGATTATCCATAGAACTCCAAAAACACCTAAAATGTGTGCTATTAAACACAAGCAACATTGAACAAAGAACAGAACAAACTGAGGGCAATATACAGCAAAACTGATCATCTAAACAAGGAGCAGGTGGATGTAATCAATCAAACATTGAGTAACTATAACAACAATTAAAACGAAGAACGAAAAACGTAAGAAACGGAAACGAAAGTCTATTAAAAAATAAAAAACTGAAACCAAAACCAGGGTGGTGTCCAAGGGGCAGAGAGAACAGGCGACACTGGAAGACCAGGAGGCCAATCGCAGCGCAGTGCCGAGTGGCCGTGGAGGAGTCAGGGAGCCAGAGGACTGAGGAGGAGCCGGAGGGAAGGAGGAGCTCGACCAAAGCCAAAAGGGGAAGAGGCACAGCCAGTGGCCCAGAAGTCCGTGTTAGAGGCTGAGCGACTGACCAAGGCGGAACCAAAGGGACGAGAGAGCCTAGTGGAGCCGACATGCTGATGGGCCGTGGTGGAGCAATGAGCTCGGAGGCCCGAGGCGGAGCCAGGGAGTCCGTGCACCAAGGCGGAGCTGGGGGCCGGGAAGTTCCAGGCGGAGCCATATCGCTGGGCAATCAGAGGAGGGGGAGCCGAGGAGCTGGACGATACAAGCGGAGACAAGTAAACTTGGAAGCCGGACAGGACTGGCAGAGATAAGGACGACTAGGGACTGGGCTGAACCAGCAGAGACGAAGGCGACTTGGGACTAAGTATCAACATCATACATGTCTAAAGAATGGAAGTTTTTGAAAACAAGAGCTTATATTGATGCAATTCACTCAATTTACTGTTTTATTCCAAACATTATTCCTGGTCAGAGGCTTTTTTAAACATTTAGTTAATACATAGAGTTACATTAAACTAACTGTTTAAGGGTGCGACGCAAACCGATTTAGTAATGCATAAGTTGTAGGGGTGGAACGGTACACAGAAGTCACGGTTCGGTTCATACCTCGGTTCAGACATCACGGTTCGGTACGATTTCGGTACAATGGAGTGAAAAGCAAAGCAAAAATGCAGAAGGCATTTTTATAAATGTCTTAAACCTTGTATTTTTTTAAATAAGTTTTATTAATAAAGGCATAGAACCAGTTTATTTGTAGTGCACTGACAGTAGTTTTATATAATTAGTTTATTAATTAAATTATTAAAAAGACGAAAAGACCTTGAGATATGTTTGGTAATTGTACCTGAATGAATTTAAAATTAATTTGCTATTTCAGATCAAGATATTTGTTTTCCTTCATTTTAATTAACTAACTTTATTCTCATCTGAATTATAAATAATTGATTTCCGTATAAAATAATACTACCATAAAAACTTTTGTTAACAGTTGTAGGTTACAGTTTGACAAGAGTTTACAGTGTGACAAAAGCACAATGTTGTGTTTTATTTCCAGTGTACACAAATATAAGTAAACAATTTGCAGTTTTAATGATGTCCTGTATGAAAAAAAATGACGGAGTATGTTTTTACGTTTCCACTGTTCGATCGCCCGTGCCTCTCTCTCTCACACACACACACACACACACACACACACACACACACTGTTCATCGCGCGATTCGCGCCCGCGCCTCTCTCTCTCTCTCGCACGCGCGCGCACACAAACACACACACACTGTTCATCGCGCGATTCGCGCCCGCGCCTCTCTCTCGCGCGCGCGCGCGCGCGCACACACACACACACACACACACACTGTTCATCGCGCGATTCGCGCCCGCGCCTCTCTCTCTCTCGCACGCGCGCGCACACACACACACACACTGTTCGATCGCGCCTCTCTCTCTCTCGCACACACACACACACTGTTCATCGCGCCTCTCTCTCTCTCTCTCTCTCTCTCTCTCTCTCTCTCTCTCTCTCTCTCTCTCTCTCTCTCTCTCTCGCACACAGACACACACACTCCTGCATTGCAATCTTGATCGCAGCCTGTTCATTGCTGCGTTAACAGTCACACCAAAAGCGAATAGAGCGAAATTTATCGCTATTTAAGAGGTTTTTTTTTTTATTTGTACCGTGTATTCTGCGTGCAAATTCGTGCACCGAACCGTGACGCCCGTACCGTTTCGGTTCAATACAAATACATGTACCGTTCCACCCCTAATAAGTTGTAACTTAGTGCCCCTTTACATCGTAACTAAGCTAAGTTGTTACTTACACACAGCGGGTAAACCATGTCCTGGTGTCCTGGCCACATTCCACCCATTGGCCCCTGCCAATCATGGCCTCCTAATAATCCCCATCCACTGAATTGGCTCTATCACTCTCTCTCCTCTCCAACTATAGCTGGTGTGTGGTGAGCGCACTGGCGCCGTTGTACTGTGGCTGCCGTCGCATCATCCAAGTGGATGCTGCACACTGGTGCTGGTTTAGGAGAGAACCCCTGATATGATTGTAAAGCGCTTTGGATGTACAGTAGTACATGTGAAAGCGCTATATATAAATGCCTCATTCATTCATTCATTCATTCAAACCATGTCTTTGCCTGGAATCGGACTCAAATGAGCTAGTCTCAACTACAACACGTTCCTAGCACATGTATTTTTTATAGTCAAAACAATGAGATTCCTGCTATATGATTGTCTGAGACATGTGGCAGTACCCACACAACAGTTCCAGCAATTTGATTTCTTGTCATGTGTATGTATGTGAATGACAAACAGCAATACTTACTCTGTGTTATGAGTGTCAATTGTATGGAAAAGCTCCTTTAATTCATCTCCTGACAGAACACCATCTGAGAAATAAGCCTTGAACTCATCAAAGGACAGCTTCCCATCATCTTTTGAGAGGAAAATGTGGTTAAAAATGTGCCTTGAAAAACTAAATATAACTCATAAAAGTATTACAGATTTAATAAAGAGAGTGTTGAATCTATAAATGAGAAAGAAAGTAAAGTTAATCATCCTTCAGGCTATGAGAATTTAGCTCATGCACATCAGATCGCAGGTGTTTGGGGAAAAACATGCACACAGACGTCACAAGATAATGTTTGCGACAGAGCTGAGGGCTCGTGTTAGTTGGTGCAGACGCCCAGAGGTTTTTAAACAAACAGTGACAGGTGAGTCACGGCCGGCTATACTTAAAATAGAATAAATATACTGCTCCACATGTGGTGTGCTATACACATATACACAATATGATATCAAATGCAGTAAAGGAACCTAAAAACGAACACAGTATGAGGAAGAAATCTGCAAAAATCCCTGTGACTGACATTATACGCCTATATTGTGCATTAATATTACATTGACTGACATGATAAAATCCAAGTATGTGTTGTTACAGAGACAGATTTCTCAGACATAACTTACAATAATGTTTTCTTTTAAGAACATTTTAATCTTATGCAGTTATCTTTAAATGAACAACATATTAGTTGGATCACCAAAGTGTCTATCTTTGTGTTTCAATGAATTTTAAGGCAACCAGGTTACTTACTTAAGTTAAACCAGCAAATCATTGTTTACAGTGATGCTAAAGAAAAGTAACTGAGTTGAATTCCAATGCAAAACTGAACTTCAAAGAAGAAATCTAAATCAATGGTATTTTTGAAATTCTGAACTATAGGAGGGGAGGAGGACAGTGACATTTGTTTGGTATCGCTCTAATAAAATATTGACTATCATTAGGAAATGTATGGACAGTCTAGTGTTTCCATGACAACAGAGCAACAGCATAGGCTGGGAATGGACAACCATTCAAACATATGGAGGCATGGAGTAATGTAGTCAAACCGTTTATTATGCAGGTGAACAACAAAAGAAAAAAAGGGCAATGCCTTACCATTTTTGTCAGCTCTTCTCAGTATCTGAAAGTAAACAGGGCATTATCAGTTCATAGCCAGGAGAAATCATGCTGTGTTGATCATGTAAAGGGACTCTAGCACTGTAAATTATTTAGGTTGAGTCCTAAAAAGAGCAGAGATGAAAGAAAAAGTGATGATGGCTATGTTGAATTTGAACACTCAGGCGCACTGTATAGCAGTCTGTTAAATAAAGTCCCAATTCACAGCAAGAATATTCACACTCTAAATTTGGTCCTGTGCTATAGGCATGCCAAGACGATGCTGAATTTAGCTTCCTCCATAGAGGAGTGATAAAACTATGCCACCAATCTGTCAGGGACCGGTGCTTCCTTATTCCAGTATGATAATTAACAATACACACCTCACGTCCCTGGGGAATCTCTTTAGACAGCATACTACAATTTAATTAGCAACTCAAACTGTACTACATGTCTTTGTGGTTAAAGAAGGTCTACATATATTATAGAGCAGAAAAGAGACCATTTAATAACTAAATGTCAATGTGAATAAACGAATTAACAATACGCTAATTAACAATATGCATAATAACTGTAAATATAAAAATGCAATGAGTGATGAGTGCTCTGAGCAGTGCATCACATAAGCATATGAATATCTATATATCTAGGCCTATGTATGAAGGCCAGTCTCACATGACCTGAACACTTCAGAATCAGTTTATACTAACCAAAATCTGTAACAGTTTAGAATTGCACCTTGCTACTAGCCTATATATATATATTGACATGAACGCATCAGGCAGTTGCTGCAGATCTCCCGTTACACCGGATCCCAAAGGTGCTCTATTGGATTGAGATCTGGTGACTGTGGAGGCAATTTGAGTGTAGTGAAGTCATTTTCATATTCAAGAAACCAAGATGATTTGAGCTTTGTGACATGGCACATTATCCTGCTGGAAGTAGCCATCAGAAGATGGGTACACTGTGGTCATACAGGGATGAGTGGTCAACTCAGGTAGGCTATGCATGGTGTACTAAGATGTGGTACTAAGGGGCCAAAAGAGTGCCAAGAAAATCCTCCATGCCATTACACCACAAGCACTAGCCTGAACCGTTGATACAAGGCAGGATGGATCCATCATCCATGCTTTCATGTTGTTTACGCCAAAATCTAACCCTACCATATGATTGCAGCAGAAATCGAGACTCAACACTCAATACTGAAGAAAATGTAACTTATCCATGTAACTTAGGAAAAAAACAATCGATTAATTTATGTTATTAACTAATATTAAGCAGATAAACCTTGATAAGGGAACCTTGAGGTAAATTAGGTCTGCTAAAATGAAAGGTCAATCAATCTGCAAGTGGACTCAACACAAACCCCATAGCACTGTGGATCCATCAACAGGTTATTTTACGTCTCCATTTTCATTTTATCGTCCAGCACATTAATTCAATCAGACAAAACATTTTTTTAAATACTCACATCCAAAAATATTGACATTCCTTTCTTTAACTCGATGGGAGAGCTGGCTTCATCTGACAGTGACTGCACCTCTTCAGAGCAATCCATGACTCCTCGTGATAAATAATTATCTAACTTTCAGCTACAATAACGCTTAATTAATCCAAACAAGTGCGCGTGCAGAGAGAAGAAGCGCGCGTACCGCAGTGTGTAGCTGTAATGCGCGTGAAAGGAGCGAATCTCCCGCTGTGCTCCAGTGATGAGCCACAGGTCTCCTGATGCTGTGACACACGCACCAATGACATTCGCTTTGGTGTGTTATCACGCTAGTCATTTCTCTCTACCTGTCTCAGCGGGGATAAACTATTTTGTTACTCTCTCACCATTGCAAATATTTGTACGATGCATTTTGTCATGTTTGTTATGATGCAAATATAATAATATAGGCTAATGGAAAACTACGCGATGAAGTTCATACGTGTTATTAGTGTTACAGGAGAATTACATTTAAAGGCATTTAGTTTACACCGACAATGAACATTTTGTCATCATGTCATTTCAAATCTTTAAGACTTACTTTACTTAGCAATGCAAGTAGAGAAATTCTGAATAATGTTCTTGTTCTCTTTTTGTGGAATGAATTGAATAGTGTTGGAAGATTTAAGCACAACAAAAATGTAATAAAAGTAATAAAAACGTTAGGCTACTCAATAGTTCTAACTGTTTGGAACAACATGAGGATGAGTAGGCTACATACATAATGTTATAATTTTATACTTGTTAACTATTGCTTTAAGTGATCGTAGCACTTTAATTTCATATACATTTTAGCGTTAAAGGGTTGCTCCACCTCTTAGAAAGCTCACAGATTTCAACAAAAATATCTTAATTTGTGTTCCAAAGATGAACGAAAGTCTTACGTGTCTGGAACAACATGAGGGCAAGTAAATAAAGACAGAATTTTAAGTTCTGGGTGAACTAACCCTTTAAGGATAATGTTCACACAGTGCACACTATTCACGTTTAATCATTTAAGAAGTTCTCCATACCTTCCCATCTAAAAATCGTGTAAAAACTATTTCTGTGAGAATATAACTTTTTATAAAAATTAAAAATTCACTTTTACCCAAGATAACAGATGGCAACTCCTTGTCATGAGGCACAAACATCTTTTAGTGAATTGAAGGTGAAACACCAGCGACATCTTGTGGTAAAACATGTCAAAATCAGAAACATCATGTTAAAAGAAGTTTAACCTATATTTAGATAAAAAATAAACCGATTCTTGAGACACTGGACAAAACATGTTGCAAGCTTTTAGCTGACATGGCTTTTTTTTATAGCAACATTTTAATTTTTAAATGCATTAGAGATGATCACTGATAATACTCCGAAAAAAAGGTCCCAAAACTGGTCAATTTTTTTTCTCAGCAATGCCATATAATAAACATTTTTGGGTAAACCATTTTTTCATAGTGTGAAGAACATTTTAAAAATCCAAAGAACATTTTTCCACTATAAAGAACCTTCTATTCAGTGGAAAGGATCCATGGATGTTAGAAGTTCTTCAGGGAAAATGCCAATAAATAACCTTTATTTTAAGTGCATTAAAAATTCAGTAAGCCTAAATTGTAGGCCTAAATGTCAAATTACATTAGTTTGGTAGCAATTACTAGTTGAAGCTCACTAATGGGATAGCTGCTAAATCACACAAAAACACACCCACAAAAAAAACTATACAGAATAAAATAAACTCAGTGACCCATGCAGCCACATTAAAAGACAATGTGGTTTATAACTAAGCTGCCATTTAGAAACCCCTTGACCAAGCCATTGCTTCAATGATCTGTTGTAAAGAGAACAACCCATTACCCTTGAGCAGAGTGTGCATGAATGCAGTGTGGTCGGATGAGTCAGTTTACAACATTTATCCGTTTACTTATGGACAAAGCCAAATGTTGCCTTCAATGTCCAAAATCACAAAGGATCCATAATGACATGAAAGACAGGTCTTGAGGTTCCTCAATGTGGTAATACCTGAATTAATGGCTATGATGCAAACCCTACTCTCAAGTCATTCTCATATTCCAGACCAGTCTGATAATATTCCCATAAATACTGATAAATAATTTCAAAATTGATTTCCTAAAAATCAGTGTAAAGTCCAATGCCTTCATAACCTTCCACTCACAAAATCTATTCGTCTTTGCAAACTAGCTAAGGGCTTGCGTGACAGAATTCCAAGAAAGGCAGGATCTGTTCTAAAGGTGAAGTGTGTATCACTGATCAGCAATGATAAGACTGAGGCCTTTATTTTAGGGGCAATTGTTACATTTTACCATCTTACCAAAGTCAGATTTGTCAACCTATTATTATATTGTGCTTCAGTGGATTTACAAAGCAAACTGTATTTGCTGAAGGAAAAGTACTGGTAGGCAGCATTGCAATTGAAAAAGCTTTGACTTTGATTATGCAAATGAAATGCTATCAGAGCAGCTTTGCTGTTGTCATGAGAATCGGTTGTGCACGAGAATCAACACGTGCTGTGGCTTTGTGAAGGCTGAATATTCTATCAATGAATGTCAACAGGAGATTCTCAAACTTTCATTTCTTAAAAAGTATAACATTTATAAAAGCTAGAAACTTATCATACCAACATACCAAAACAAATGCTGTAATTATCTCCAAAATAATGTTTGGGTCTACGTCAAGCCGGTTTGGACTAAATTAATTGAACTGAACCTCTGTTTGAACTAAATTTATGATATGATCAAATTCATTAATAAATAAATAAATAAAGATAGATAGATAGATAGATAGATAGATAGATAGATAGATAGATAGATAGATAGATAGATAGATAGATAGATAGATAGATAGATAGATAGATAGATAGATAGATATTGATACACACACACACACACATATATATATATATATATATATAGAGAGAGAGAGAGAGAGAGAGAGAGAGAGAGAGAGAGAGAGAGAGAGAGAGAGAGAGAGAGAGAGAGAGAGAGAGAGAGAGAGAGAGAGAGAGAGAGAGAGAGAGAGAGAGAGAGAGAGAGATACTTAGTAATTAAATTATCTGAAAATTAAAGTTTGAGTGAAATTTGTATGTTACGTCAGTTTGGACTGAACTTACTCCACCACATAATAATAGATATGACATACAAAGTCATGATTTTGAGATAAAAAAGTATAAATGATGACATATATCAAAATTAGATATGTCGAAATTAGATGTCATCAAATTAGTTGAGATTGTTTACATTTTTATTTTCATTATGAAAAGTCTAATTTTATAGAAAAAAGAAAAGAAAAAAAATAGAAGGCCATAATTTAGTCTTTTATCTCATAATTATAACTTTGGTATGTCATAATTTAGATTTTTATATCTTATGACTTAGCATGTAATCATTTTGACTTTTCATGTCAAATGTAACTATCTCAGTATTTCATAATTATGATTTACCAAAGCATGATTTTTATTTATTTTTTATTTTTTATTAGGCAGAAATTGGCTTCCACACAGGTGGGAAGGGAAATGGGGGGACCCACCCAAAAACAAACATTTGGCTAATATTATACACCAGAATAGTTATGAAACCAGAAGAGAAACAGAGACATAACATCCTAGAAACTGTCCAATGTGTGTTTTTACTCTTCAAGACCCAAAACCGGTGCTTTTACTAGACTAGTACATTTATGTGTATTGGATTTAACGATCATTTGACCTATATATTTCCATTAGTTATTGTACACCACTGATTTTCAGGGCAATCAGAGAGCTGTTTGTTATCGCGATACTTACAGTGACGGGCAGATGATATCACGTGACGACCTCGCACAGAATACTGGGAAACAAACAGTGGTATGAATAACGCTCGGCGTAAACATCCGTTGCTGAGGTGGGCAAGAGCTCGCATAACACAAGTAAAACAACTCATCCAGGGAACGCAACGACCGTCTATCCGCGACTTTTATAATCGGTGTTATTCTGGCCAAGAGATGTGACATGTTGAGCTGGGTGAGCGGCGGGACTTTGGACCGGAGCCTGGTTGGGAGTAACGTTACTGCAGTGAGCTGTGCCTGGAGTCGGGAAAGTTGAGCGACGCGTGTGTGTGATTTATCCGTCAGACGCGATGACAGCAGCGATCTGAACACGCCCGGAGGGATTTCATTCCTCTGATGTTGGGAAGGAGGGTATGGCGTTCATAAGTGAACGACAGCAGACACATTTGCATCTTGAGTCCTTGAAGTGGTAACTTACAGCTCCACATCAGTTTTCCCCAGATAAATTATTATACATTACTGGATTTTTCGGGACAATTCCTCGCTAACCAGGGAATTGATTGCTGATCCCTTTGTCAGAGGATCCCCGGGATTTGGCAACGTGTAAATCCAAGGGTCAACATTTTGGACTGGACGTCCAATCAATCAATCGAGTGAAGTCATATGAAGAAGGGATGAATATGTGGAGCTCAGGGTCAGTGCAGGGTGTGCTGAAAGCCCTGAAGCACGCCGCGGGGAAAGGACACATCCAGCTCAGCCGCTGGCTGCAAAAGACCCCTGACTCACTGGACTGCGACAAGATCGACATCTTGATCTGTAACGTCTTTGACGAGAGAGCCAACGGCGGGAAATCGGAGGCAGAGCCCGCGGGACTGACCGAGACCGGTGCGCCCTTCACCCCCGAGTTCAGGCATCCGTGTTGCATTACCACCTGTTGCTTTAAAAGTGCCCTGTTGGCGTGCATCCTGACAGCCGTGTGCTTCTCATCGGTAGCTCTCGTGCGCCAGTACCTGAAGGATGTCTTGTTGTGGGTGGAGAGTTTGGACAGTTTCGTGGGAGCCTTGCTGTTCATTGTCGGCTTGATCACGGTGTCTTTCCCCTGCGGCTGGGGTTATATCGTGCTGAACGTGGCCGCGGGTTATTTATATGGGTTTGTGTTGGGGATGGGACTGGTGATGGTTGGGGTTTTGATCGGGACTTTCATAGCTCATGTGGTGTGTAAGCGATTGCTGACGAACTGGGTTCTGAGTAAGATCGGGAGCAGTGAACAGCTGAGTGCTGTTATTCGGGTGGTGGAGGGGGGAAGTGGACTCAAAGTTGTGGCCTTAGCGAGACTCACACCGATTCCTTTCGGTCTCCAGAACGCGGTCTTCTCGGTAAGTCTGTTTTTGACATTCTTGCTAATAATTATTATGCTCATTTTTAACAAGGCATTAACAAATGTTTTAATTTGAGCATTAGCTATCTCACCCGTGTTATTTATTTTATTATCATTGATATTCTGTTGTAGTCGCCTATTTATTCGTATTTTAATTCGATTTTGTTCACTTCAATTTTAAAGTCATTTTTTTAAAATGTCTTTACAGTTTATTTTTTATTTTGTTTATTATTATTAAAGTTGTTTTATTTTAAGTTAAACTAAACGAAAATTAGATGTTGCCTTGGCAACTATGTCAGTTCATGCTTATTTTGTTCCAAGTAACAAATTTGTTTATGGTTTTAAGTTTTAGTCGACGATAACCCAGTATTGCATAAGTGCATGAGGATTACAGTCTTGCTAAATTGCAAGAGATCATAAATCTATAATTATGAAATGTCCGATTTAGCGGTTTAGTCCAAATGTTCTAAAGAGACTTTAGACTTTAGTCGCGTTAGCCTATATGATGAACAGATTAAATTTAGACTTTTAATCACATATAAACATTGATCAGCGAACATAAACAGCAGCTCAAAGGTGCTTGATGTGCGAGAACAAACCTCATTGGTTCTTGCAGAAGCTCAAACCTGCTGCGTAACACGAGAATTAACCTCATTGGTTCTCACACATCAGGAGAACATGCTTGAGCTTCTGTTTACCACAACTGATGTGTGAGTTGATGGATGTGAGTTCAATCTGTTTATCATATAAAGTGATCGTGTCTCTTCAGACAATTTGGACTAAACCACTCAATACAAATAGATTAGTTTAACAATCTCCTTATGAACTTTTTTAAATCACCAAAATGTCAGTTGCATAGCTGTCAATAAAGGGACAGAAAGCTCTCAGATTTCATCAAAAATGTCTTTATTTGTGTTCCGAAGATGAAAGAAAGTCTTACGTGTTTGAAAGCCTTGAGGGCGAGTAATTAATGACAGAATTTCATTTTTGGGTGAACTATCCCTTTAAAAAGCTTGTCTGTATCAGCATATATGAGTAATGTGATAGAGTTCCCCTTTCCTCTCAAAGAATTCTGTAATCTTTCCGCTTGAAATCCATTCCGGGATTTACATTTCTTCATTGGTGAGAGAAACCTGCATCGAGCGACCATGAAGCAAAAAAGCGCAAAACACAGACTTTCAGGCCAGAGCAAAACATACAACTTTCTTAACATCAGTTTAGGTTAGGGTTAGCCTAACCCTAACCCTAACCCTTGCCATGAAGTCAGACAAGCCAAAAGAAGCAAAGAGTGAAATAATCAGTCTAAGAACAGTCACTCAATATTGAGGACAGAACTGTTACATTTGTTATAGTACTTGTCAATTTTATCGTTATGAGGTTTTTTTTTATTAGTAAAAATGTTTATACAACATGGAGGTCTCTGAATAATTGCATTGAGGTGGCTGTTAATCTTTAAGGGGCATCCAGGTGGCTTTATCCAGCTTTGCAGGAATTAAACAATTAAGACCTCCTGAGCCGGATTTAAATCAAACATAACTGCTCTTCACACAGGATCAAGGGTAAAAACAGCTCTCTGTTTACATTGAAATATGTTACCTTTAGACGCTCTGCACTACCAATATAATACACTTTTAATTAGCTGACATATGAGAAAGAATCTGCAACCTTTAACAATGACAGAGGACCGTAAAGAACAGTGATGCACAACTTCTGCAGTGTGTAGCATCTTTTTTTTTCTTACTCAAAATTGAATTATTACTGACCCAGTTTCTTTAACCCGTTTGTTAAATACATAATGACACAGAAAATATACAGTCAGCAACATTGAAATAAATAATTTACAAAAAAATAAAATTACACATTGGCTCTTAAATGGGATTTTAATGACAATTGTGTTTTATGTAAAGTTTTTAAATCACATTTAGTGTAGTCCCATAAAATATGCTCATGCTTGGACTTTTCAAAGAGCTGTATCTTATTCTGTTTAACCATACGTTTCATTTTAATACAAACAAAGATTACAGTTGCTTGCTGATATTAAATTAGATTTGAGATGTACTTCGACTGTCTCAGGCATTAAGGCTGGTTTGTTTTCTAATATGAACGTGGACCAGCAGCCTGCCATTGTGTAACATATTTGACTATTATTTGTACTGTTTGCATAATTTATTCACTGGATGATTCATAGGTCAATGTATTGCTCCTTTGAAGTTTTTTTTATGATTATGAGCAGTCTTTACAAGATTGATGATTTACACTACTTTAAAGTCTGACAGCGATTGCCTGATTAGCCTATATCTTGGTTTCTTGAATGCTGGAAATGGACATTGAACACCTGCTTACAGTTGGAGTTTGCATCATATTAGCAAGCAGCTACAATGTTAAACAGAGCTGTCTTTTCTATTTACAAGTATATGGCTGCACAATAAATTGAAAATAATCTAAATTAGTTACAGCTGCTATGATTAAAGAATTGTTAATTTTTTTGTCAGTTACAATATTCTATTTACGTCTGCTCTTGTTGCATCAAAATATTCTAGTATTGTGCTGTTTGCTTACTGTGTATAATTAATTACAAGTTTGAATAACAGTTTTGTTTTCATGCAGCTCCACTTTTAAGGCCAATTCACACCGCACCGACAGTCACCAGATTACAGCACGTCACTTCTCAGACATTCTAACGCCTATTCAGCATGTTCAATCGGCGAAAAACAATTGGCCTATAAAAATAATGGTTCAAAGTGGGGGAGGTCATAGAAGAACCATTATTGGTTCCCCAAAGAACCTTTCAGTGATCAGTTCTTTATAATAACAATTTTTTCTTAGTGTGAAGAACATTTTAATAATCTAATTCTGAATAACTGTTTTCCATTATAAAGAACCTATTATGCAATAGAAAGGTTCAATGGATGTTTAAGGTTCTTCATAGAACCATCAATGCCAATTAAGAACTGTTATTTAGAGTGTATGAAGACAAGTAAAAAGTTGATCGTTTATGTACAAACTTGATTTACAGATGTTTAAACCCCCAATAAATTCATAAACGCACTTCTCGGCTTGTTTTAGATAGGGGCAGGTTTATTATTGTTAGTTAAAACCATAAAATGTTTACACCATAAAACTCATAAAGGTTAACTAAAGAATTATTGTTTATATAACATTGTTTTAGATGCATTCATAAAGATTATAAACATGCAATTGCCCTGCACAAAAAAGAAAAAGATTTGTCATAATCGTGCAGCCCTATTTAGACATTACATTTTAGTCAGAAGCAACCTACATTACACTAGTAGAGTGTCATTGCTCTTGAAGCAAACATAAGTCTCTGTTCTTTTTAAAGGACACTGTAATGATCAAGCACTCATCTCAATCGCTGCTCACTTCTGGGTTTGCTTTTACTTGGAATTGAACGTGATACCGTGAGTCAGTACTCTTGCTCCAGTAGCCTGCCTCTACCTATTGTCCTCCTTTGTAATATCAGTGAGGATGATATTCAATTTGCACCAGTTGGAAAGCGAGTGAATATCAGGCTCTCTAGAAGTGCCAGTGACTCTAATTGTGTTAGGCTAATTGGTTTTATTTCACCTTTATTTTTTATTCACCTTTATTCGGAACAGAGGGATTCACAGCCCAAGGGTATGATGTATGTCGGCACCAAACAGGTCACACTGGAATTATGTTTCACACGTCCTATAGACGGGGCTATATTTCAATGTGCCCTGCATTTTCTGCTGAAGCAGAATGTGATGCGTTATGTAGGTAACCCAACACAATGCATGCGTCTGCATAGTGCATACTTAAAATTTTGCCTTATGGCCATTTATAATGAAGTCACTTCTAAGAACAGGAATGCATCATTTTACCTTGTTCATGAATATTCATAGGTTGACGCAACCCAAATCCAACACTGCCTGCATCTTCTACAGTCTATTTATGAACAAAAATGGATGGGTTTGATGTCATGTTTAATAGTTTAGCACTGGAGATACAGGTTTGTGGCTTATTTTATAACTCTCACAGCTGGTGATGCAATTCAATTACGCTAACCTTTAATGTGTTTGTTGGGTGTGTTTGCATAGAGACTATTGGATTTGGAACAGGGCAGAAGCGCTGCTTAAATATTTGCTTTTTCTTCAAAGCATTAGAGCAATGTAGTACAACCAGTAAAACGTCCTACTGGCGTTGCTGTGAAAATCTGTGCATTACATTGTGTTTACACAGAAGAAATTGAGTTTACTAAGGATGTGAAATGTATTAAGTGTTTAAAAAGAGTTTAAAATTAAATGAATAATTGCTAGCATAGACCAACTCTACTTTTGCGTCATCGAAGGGTAACGCCCCCTTTTGGGGGAAAACAAACGGATTCCCCTGAGAACAGAACTCGCTCTAGATCTGCAAAGTTTCTTGATAGCAAAAATGGCACAAACTTAAAGAAGCTACTGGATACGGGGTTACAGAGGTGTCCCTTTGAAATGGTCGAAAACTGGATTAATGACGCCACGCAGTGGCCAAATATGGACTATTCAGACATCTACCACTATCTTCTCGTGAAATCACCAAGTAAGTAACGTTAGCCTATTTTTTTGTCATTAACACACTCACAGTATGACAAACTAGACGATGAGGCCATGTCACTTGGATCATATTTAACTTGATTTAAGCTATTGACATAGTTTTGTTGTCGACTAGCTATACTAGTTAGAAATACGAAGCTGCTAGCAGCTAAGTTAACGTTACGTGATTAGCTATCACTAGGCACGCTACCTTGGCTGTTAACTGATTTTACTGTTGAAATAGTGGCAGGCTAGGACTAAAGTGGACTTGGCTGGTTTCTGCTTTTGTCTAGAAAGTGCTTTAGGCCTAACTGTTATATGACTTTTCGACGACCACTGCTCTGGGCTACATGTAACAACACGAACGGCAGTAGATCAAGCCTTCTAGGCTAGATAGGACAGCGTAATGTCACAACATCCAATTTGATAGCCCCGTACATGCATACATTGGTCCTATACATATTTTGCCGTACACTGTAAACCTTTTTACAACTTTCAAAGTCCTAGCACTTTCTAGACACAAGCAGAAACCAGCCAAGTCCACTTTAGTCCTAGCCTGCCACTTTTTCAACAGTATAGTATAGCTAGTTGACAACAAAACTATGTCAATAGCTTACATCAAGTTAAATATGATCCAAGTGACATGGCCTCATCGTCTAGTTTGTCATACTGTGAGTGTTAATGACAAAAAAAAAAATAGGCTACTTACTTGGTGATTCCACGAGATAGTGGTAACGTTAGATGTCTTAATAGTCCATATTTGGCAACTGCGTGGGGTCATTAATCCAGTTTTCGACCATTTCAAAGGGACACCTCTGTAACCCTGTATCCAGCTCTTCTTTAAATATCGCTCACGGTCCTCGGCCGGCAAATAGAGTGTATGTTCGTGCCATTTTTGCCATCAAGAAACTTAGTTAGCAGATCTAGAGCGAGTTCTATGGCAAGCCGTTTTAACTTTTATTCATTTCCAGGATATGAATTGTTGATATCAACAATTACATTTTTGATATCAACAATTACATTTTTTGATATCAACAATTACATTTTTGATATCAACAATTCAATTGTTGATATCAACAATTGAATTCTTGATATCAACAATTCAATTCTTGATATCAACAATTGAAATATTGATATCAAAAATGTAATTCTTGATATCAATAATAGTATTTTCACTAGTGAAATGTCACCATAGACTGCCATTCAAAATCAATTGTTGATATCAAGAATTGATTTCTTACTAGTAGAAATATAATTTTTGATATCAATAATTACATTGTTACTAGTAAAAATGCGAATTCCTGATATCAATAATTAAATTATCACTAGTCTAAATGTCTATTCTTGATATCAACAACTGAATTGCTACCAGTAAAAATTTTCATTTTTGATATCTGAAAATGTATTTCTGATATCAATATTATTTCAGATATCTAAAATGGCTTTCTTACTAGTAACAATCACATTCATGATATCAGAAATTTACATTGTCACTAGTGAAAATTGAATTATTGATATCAAAAATGAACATTGTTACTAGTAGCAATTCAATTGTTGATATCAAGAATAGACATTTCAACTAGTGACAATTTAATTCTTGATATCAAAAATAAAGGTTTTTACTAGTAAGAATTGTATTTCTGATATGTGAAATTGGAATTTCAACTAGTAAGAAATAAATTCTTGATATCAAGAATTGATTTTGAATGGCAGCCTATGGTGACATTTCACTAGTGAAAATACAATTACAGATATCAAGAATTATAGTTTTTACTAGTTGCAATTCAATTGTTGATATCAAGAATTATTATTTTAACTAGTGAAAATGTAAATGTTGATGTCAAGAATTAGCATTGTTACTAGTGAAAATGTAATTCCTGATATCAAAAATTGCCATTGTTACTAGTAGAAATATTATTCCTGATATCAATAATTATAATTGTAACTAGTGAAAATTGAATTGTTGATATCAAGTATTCATATCCTGGAAATGAATAAAAGTTAAAACGGCTTGCCATAGAGTTCTGTTCTCAGGGGAATCCGTTTGTTTTCCCCCAAAAAGGGGCGTTACCCTTCGATGACGCAAAAGTAGCGTTGGTTTATATCAACATATTAAGGATGCACCGATATGGATATTTTGGCAGATACCGATAATTCTTTATATTTGAAAGCTGATAACCGATATATTGGCCGATAAATCTAAATTTTTATATAATTTTTGAGAGCCTGATTACACAAATGTCTCACCATTAAAAGCCATGTCCTAAGCACACAATTAAAATGTTCTCATTATAATTCTATGTAGGCTGTAAGACAGACCTGTGCCTGTTGCACTTAACCATATTTTCCTTTTTTTAATTGATTCCAATCATATTTCAAGCAATTCAAAACCATCATGGCAAACTGCACATCTGAAGTGTCTCAGCTAAAGGAAATAATCCATTATTTATCAGCTTTAACATGGCGGCCCAATTTTCCTTTTAGGCCGATAACGATAACATTAAAAATGAACATATATCGGCTGTGGCCGATATATCGCGCATCCCTACAATGCATGATTATATAGATTTATTTTTTTTTTATTTTTTTTTTGTGATCTAAAGAGCAGAAAAACGTTTTTACATTTTTATTGCTTTAGAGATTGCTGAAAAAGTCCAGTTAACATGTGAAGAACAGGGCTAAACAAGGCCGATGACACATTCTTGCAGGCAGTCAAAACACTGTGATTAAACTTGACCAACACCATGACCAAATATAGTTGTCGCTCTCTTTGACAGATCACAGATGTGTCCTTGCCAAATTATTTAGTGGCTTCCTCAGTGGGACTTCTCCCAACACAACTCCTTAACTCCTATCTGGGCACCACCCTGCGCACAATGGAGGACGTGATCGCAGAACAGAGCGTCAGTGGATACTTTGTGTTCAGTCTACAGGTAAGCCTCCAAAAACAACAGTTTAAAATAAAATCAGCAAAGACCCTGGATATACAGTTGGGCTCACAAGTTTACATACTACTCGCAGAATATTCAGCGTATTATTAAAATGTATATTTATTAAAAGTAAAAGTTAACTGAACAGTTAATGTTAACAAAACATTAACTGAATAATTTTTGTTCATTTTTTAATGTTTTATCCATTTAAATAGTTTACATAGCCTTACACCTTGTCTACACAGGACTCGATCAGCGTGGCACGACATGGCAAAAGACAATAGTGATACTGTCAACACTAGATGGCTGCAGATTTCTTATTTACATTTATTTATTTAACAGGCATGTTTATTCAAAGCAACTTGCAAATTAGGAGCATCACAAGCGATTTGTCAGTCACGTTTATTTATATTGCACTTTCTTCCTGTTTATTAATGTAAAAGAGGCAACAATATCCATAGCACACAGTAACATGTTGCCTCCTCGAAGCTGCCCATGTTCTTTAGTTTCCCATCATGCTCTGTATTTTGTAAATCTCAGAGTTCACTGGTATGATGAGCAGTGATGTTTAGTTTCAGATTTTCAGTTGAGGAACTAATGGACAACTATCACAAAATACTACAAACAGAGTGTGTACACAATATTAGAATTATTCAAAGGGGGTGCACATACTTTCAGGATTTCAGTTATTTTGTGTTATAGAACATACTTGTTGTCTGTCTTCTCCTGGACTAAAAATATATATTTTTAAATATTTTAATTAGATTTTTTTTAAATGCTAAACATTTTACAGATTCTGAAATGGATATATAAACTCATAAGCAAATTAAATATTTATGTCTAGTCTAGATTGTAGCAGGGATCATTCTTGTGGAACCTGTAGTAAACCATAATTATATATGGTCATTGGCAGAGCTTTAGCCAAAAATGTGTACACATTTTGCATTGCTCTTGTGTGTAGTAAAGTTAGATGCCAATAATGGATTCTTGACTGGAACAGACTGTTCCGATATATCAGCCAAGGACATTTTGCTTAAATTTACAACCGCATTGAATAAGTCACATCATCTGGATCTTTGTATCAACTGTCGTCCAGCTCAGTCAGCAGATCCTCCTGGTGACTCACTCTCTCTGTTCCTCATCAGATCTTCATCAGCATAGGCCTGATGTTTTACGTTGTCCATCGAGCACAAGTGGAACTGAATGCCGCCATCGCCGCCTGCCAGATGGAGCTGAAGACGTCGTACATGAATGGCGGAGCGACCAACCACAGCGGCTCGACGTACTGCAGCAAACGGGCTGTGGCAGGAGGGGGGATCAACGTGGTCTGATCAACATTTTTCTTGAGGATGAATATTTTTCAACCCTCCATCCAGTTGCATTGCCCTGACTGGACGGGGGGAATTCCTTGGCTGCGTCAGGGAGTTTTGGGAGCTGCTACCGTCCCAGACAGCTGTTCTAGTTATGATGAAGGTCTGACTGCGGAGCGGTACTGGACTATCAAACAGATGAGAAGAGCTGACCATCAGATTTGATGGAAACGTTGCCCAAAGATTGGGACCCTGTGCCAGTATTAAATGAGAAGTTTATGAAATTGACTTGAGATGTTTTTGAGGTACGTTTTCTTTTTAAAGTTCTTTTTATGATGCTAATAGAAATTATAACTTTATAGGAGGTCTAAAGCATGAAATGGGTTAATTTAATTAAAGAGAATGTTATAGAATTGTAGTTAGATATTACAGAGGGCCCAACTAATATATCAGGTTAATATGCTTCAGATGTTTGCTCTTTTGTTTTATAAATATATACTGTTATTTGGTAAAAAAAATGAAGAATTGTTGATTTTTTTTTATATACTTTTCTGAGTTAATCTAAAGGTATTGCTTAATGGATTGTTTCTTTTCATGTTATGTGTAGAGTAAGAAAAAGAATTAGTCCGTTAGTACCACCTGGATAAAATTGTGGCTTTTGCCAATTGGGAACACTTTTTTGCTACACTGCGGTTTTTGTAAGGAACAGATGGAAGGAGCGGAGATTTTCTTAGCTGGATATTTAAGGCTGTCCTGCCAAGAACCTTTAGTACAGCATGATTAGCTCAGCAGTATATGTTCGATTTCTCATTCTCATATTGAGAGGACTGAAATGATTTGCCTTCTTTCTTGTATGATTTAACCAAATGCTTTATTATTGGGCTGTTGGCATTTTATGACATCACTTTTGTTAATTTATTCATTGTTAGAATCATATAATTCCAAAAGTTTGCACATATGGGATTCTATACAACTATTATGTAAGAGACAAAATGCTGAAAAGCTGGAAAAAGTAATTATATTAATATATTCTATATACTGAAAATATAATGTATTTGTAGAATTATATAAGTGTGTATGTATATATATATATATATATATATATATATATATATATATATATATATATATATATATATACCGGTACACACATTTATATAATAATCGCGATTAATCGCATCTGATTAATCTAACAAGTTTTTGTTTATATAATGTCTTACATAGTATATACACACAGACATATTGTGTATACACATGCACACATATATATATATATATATATATGTGTGTGTGTATGTATATATAAACATTTATATAATAACTGCTGTTAAATCGATTAACCACATCTGACAAAAGATTTTGTTTACATAATGTGTATATATGTTATATTTATATACATGTCTGTGTGTGTACATGTATATACACTCACCGGCCACTTTATTAGGTACCCCATGCTAGTAACGGGTTGGACCCCCTTTTGCCTTCAGAACTGCCTCAATTCTTCGTGGCATAGATTCAACAAGGTGCTGGAAGCATTCCTCAGGGAGTTTGGTCCATATTGACATGATGGCATCACACAGTTGCCGCAGATTTGTCGGCTGCACATCCATGATGCGAATCTCCCGTTCCACCACATCCCAAAGATGCTCTATTGGGTTGAGATCTGGTGACTGTGGAGGCCATTTTAGTACAGTGAACTCATTGTCATGTTCAAGAAACCAATTTGAAATGATTAGAGCTTTGTGACATGCTGGAAGTAGCCATCAGAGGATGGGTACATGGTGGCCATAAAGGGATGGACATGGTCAGAAACAATGCTCAGGTAGGCCGTGGCATTTAAACGATGCCCAATTGGCACTAAGGGGCCTAAAGTGTGCCAGGAAAACATCCCCCACACCATTACACCACCACCACCAGCCTGCACAGTGGTAACAAGGCATGATGGTTCCATGTTCTCATTCTGTTTACGCCAAATTCTGACTCTAACATCTGAATGTCTCAACAGAAATCGAGACTCATCAGACCAGGCAACATTTTTCCAGTCTTCAACTGTTCAATTTTGGTGAGCTCTTGCAAATTGTAGCCTCTTTTTCCTATTTGTAGTGGAGATGAGTGGTACCCGGTGGAGTCTTCTGCTGTTGTAGCCCATCCGCCTCAAGGTTGTGCGTTTTGTGGCTTCACAAATGCTTTGCTGCATACCTCGGTTGTAACGAGTGGTTATTTCAGTCACTGTTGCCCTTCTATCAGCTCGAACCAGTCTGGCCATTCTCCTCTGACCTCTGGCATCAACAAGGCATTTCCGCCCACAGAACTGCCGCTCACTGGATGTTTTTTCTTTTTCGGACCATTCTCTGTAAACCCTAGAGATGGTTGTGCGTGAAAATCCCAGTAGATTAGCAGTTTCTGAAATACTCAGACCAGCCCTTCTGGCACCAACAATCATGCCACGTTCAAAGTCACTCAAATCAACTTTCTTCCCCATACTGATGCTCGGTTTGAACTGCAGGAGATTGTCTTGACCATGTCTACATGCCTAAATGCACTGAGTTGCCGCCATGTGATTGGCTGCTTAGAAATTAAGTGTTAACGAGCAGTTGGACAGGTGTACCTAATAAAGTGGCCGGTGAGTGTATACACAGACACACTCACACATACAAATATATAAATATATACACCCATATTACGTAAACAAAAACTTGTTAGATGCGATTAATTGCGATTAATCGATTTGACAGCACTAATATATAAAGGAAAGCATTTTTCATATGTTAGTTCATTATTATTCTTATGTATTGAATGCTGAAGTTGAAGCTGAAGAGCAGGGGTCACATTGGTCTGATGGGTTGCCAAAATGGCTCACAGTTGCCTACAATGCATCTTTTCACTGTTTTTCTTGTTGCTCAATAATGCTCACCATTGAAGTTACTCGTGAGTGCAAGGCGAACGGCTACAAATATCTGACAAAAGTGCAAACTACAACCAAAATATTATTATGTGACTCCGGTCATGGTATTGTCTGTCGTTCCCTCCTTAGAGGTTCACCTAATTAGAAACAAAAGAGTCCTGAGCACTGACTGACGTATTTGGGTCCCGGCAATATAATTTAGCACAGGCTTCCTGTTAACGAGCCCAGAGTCGAAATGAACTCGCAGCTTCCACACTGGGAACATGAAATCCCTCAATGCAGGGAATTTCACGTAATCCTGGTGCTTAGTATGTTTTTGTCTTTTCACTACTTTCACTCATTCTCGATGGTCTGCAATACTGTCGAGCTGTCTAACATGAAATTATACTGTAAATACACAGCCATTCATGCTGTAAACCAGTATTGTAAACAGACATTTGATTTAGCTTGATTTTGTCATTGTGAGCTTTTATTTGTGTTGAAAAGAAACATGCTCTCAATGATGGATTTCTTAGTAACTGAAATTTACACTCAGTTGGTAGTGACTTCATTCTCAGTGTCATTTGAGACTCACCGTTTGGTTTACAGCATCAACACTAGAGCGTCACCATAATCGGACAATCAGTGGAACACTGGAGCGCTGCTCATTCCGAAGGCTGATCTCATCTTGTTACTCTGTATTTATGTCTCCAGTCATAGTTTTGCTGCTACTTAGACTGTAGGGTCTGAGTGAAATGCTGACAAGGGCTCGAATTAATATTGCAATTTTATTACAATGTGATCAACACCATCTTGGTTTTTTCTTACATAAAGAGTGTGCAAATTAATAGATTTTCTAACAAGTTGTTACATTTATTTTGAAAAGTGCTGGTGTAATGGTGCACAAATGGACACATTCCTTAACTTAAAAAATGGGATGAATGTTTTTTTTTTTTTTTGAGGAAATTGAATAAGCCCCTCTGTTTTCTGATATTAGCAATAAATAATTAACTGAACATGCTGACTCACCATCTGAGTTACATTGTAGAGATCCAACAATCCTGGTCTTGTGTTACGATGTAAACCTGCCTTGTACCTCTTGCTGCCTAAGACATTGAAACAGGACACTTGCCTGCGGTGTGTTCAGAATCCGACTGTAAAATGCAAAAATGTAAAGATTTGAAATGTTGCATAAAAATCCAACAGGCAACAAAAATAAATTACAATTTGAGGATAAGTATCAGTGCTTTTGTCTTATTTTTCCAGTTCAAATGACAGAATGGGATATGCAACATTGCGTTTAACAGTGAAGGGGTCTTGCGTGGTTCTTGGCTAACTTTAATCTGAGATTACAGCACATTTAAAAAAAAGAAAAAAGGTACAAATGTAATTTCAGATTAGGGCACATCAGGTACTATATTGAAACCTCTTGACCCTTTTGACAAGTGCATTTTACATACACTGTATTTTGTAATACTGAGAATTTTGCAATGTAAATGGATATTTATCGCTGTACCATGCTTGTTCAGTGTTATTTATGAAATAAAATGGTAAAAAAAATCACACAAGTGTGTTTGTTGTGCCATGCTGTGCAGTCTGCATAAATACCCTACTGTTTCTTCATTTAATTCAGCGTATCAGTGTAGGAGATACGTCTTAGAATGGGTTCCTAACAGAAGACTGTTTGTGTGCTGATAATTCAGTTTAGTTACAGATTGACAGTGCTGTTTTGTGTAATTACGTAAGATTTTGTCCCTCACGTGGTTCCCTCCTCTTTCATTATCCGTTATCTTTGAGTTGCAGTGACATGGTACAAAGTACACCATAATCGAACCTAAAGCAAGCATGTAATCTGAACTGTGAAATGAAGGGGAAGATCCAACCCAGTCTCATGAGAAAAAACATTTTACGAGGCGGTGATTTCGAGTGAATTTGAATGATTTGAATAGTTCGAAAATGCACGCTTATTAGGATCATGGGATTTTTTGGATTCATTTAGGATTTTAGGAAAACGATAAGCATGAAGGTCCACCTCTAAACATAACCGAGCTCAGGAAAACGTAACTATTTTACGAAGTGGCGATTATGAATTTGTAAAATATGAATTGGAGAAAAACGTTATTTTTAGTTAAATAGCAACCATAAAACCCAAAACATAGCCAATTATTTTACGAAGTGGCGATTTTTGTTTTAATTGTACGATGTGATTTATACAAAAAAATATGATTTTTAGAAAGAAGCAAGCATGAAGGTCCACCCGTAACCATAATCAACCCAGCTAACACACGATATAGCCAAAGTTATGGACTTATGGGTTTGGAACATGAGGGTGAGTAATAACAGAATGTTCATTTTTTTGGTTAACTAACCCTTTAACATCATCATATTGAACAAAATCAATTTTAAAGTTGTCTTAGTCATAAATAACACCATTTGAACATTGAAGTTTATTTAAAGAAATTATTTGAGACATTTAACAGCATTTTGAACCATCATATATCATCATTTTTCACAGGCTTGTGAATCCCAATTTAATTAAAAATACAACACTTCCATACGCAATTCAATGGAATCCACTGATTCCATTCCGTAATCAGATTACTTTTTGTAATTAGTTAAGTAATGCATTTCAAGTAACGTACATTACTTCCAACGTACATTAGGGAATATAATCACACTACCTTTTTGATGTTAATGCAAATTACATTCTAATAATACAACTACATTAGCCTGGGAAAACCCAGACAACTTCCAGCAAATTTAGATTTGCTCTGAAAGTTAGTCTGGCAAAGAGCTCATTCAAGCCCATTTCCAATCCGTCGAAATCGAGGCACCAATCAGAAACATTGGGGCGGGCTTTCCATGATGACGACAGCGCTGGGATTTTGAAGCAGATTTTGTAGCCTACATTACAAAGATGGATGCCGCCGTCGAACATCACTCGTTCGAATCAGCTATCGCGTCTGTTTTAAGCGATTTGAACGTTTCCTTTAAGTTAAAAACCGTGCAAAGAACAACACTCGAAGATGTTTCTCCGCCGCTCTGCATACGTCATCTCCTTCATCGCTCAGATTGGTTTTAGGTCTATCCGCGACGTCCGTTGGTGACGCCCCTCTGGAAATGATTTGTCTATGACGCTTTGCCAGACCGGTTTTAACCAGGCTACAACTACATTTATTTACAGTCAAAAAAGTTACTGCAGATAAAGTATTTTTTTTTTTTAATTCATTTTCTAATAGTATGAATTGTAGCTGAAATATATCTAGTGATGCACGATGTCCAATTTAGTGGACAGATGATTAATCAGAATTTCCTCCCAATCTAAAAACAATACTTGGAAAATGTAACTGTATATATGACTCATTAGATATCGCTTGATGCTACAACTTTTTTTTTTTACCTGCAAGAGTCTCCTATAGGAGAGAAGGAATGGATGGATTTTCCGGAGCAACCTGGCCATCGGCCATCTTGGTTTGGAGGGAGGAAAAATCGACATACATCGGCTTGCTTGGTTGCAATGTATAGGATGATGCACTGGTTCCATGGTAGAGGTTGATGTGCAACTATGCCATCAAAACCCATGCGTATGCAAGATAATGCTTTTTGAATAGCTGTCCACTGCAGTGACCTCTGTGTGTGAAAGGATTAAGGCATTTCTAAAAGCATTTTCTTGCATCTTACTTGTACTTATCATGCATACATGTATATCTTGCATATAAGTATATATATATATATATATATATATATATATATATATATAGTATATAGTGAAATGAGATTCATCATTGTGTTGGAAGATCCTTGCTGGAGTTGCTCCATGACTGCAACCTTCACTGTGTCCTTGATAACGGAAAACCCTCCTGGAAAAGTGCTGACCAAACAAACACATTGTGTTCTCCTTGTGCAATCAATATTTCCATATGTGGTGTGGTATACTGACATTACTGTCTTTAACAGTTAGAGTAGGACTGATCTGAAAGGCACTATTCCCCCTTCACCGAAATAGCATGTGCTCCTGGCCATGTGTCAAAACAATTCAATGTGATATGTGATGTCTATTGAGGGGAATAGCATTGAGATTCACTAATATGTCTCATTGGAGGAGATTAGGAGGACAGAGCGATCACTTGAACTATCTCCTCATGTCATGTTCTTCTGTCGGCTATAAGTAAGCATAAGCTAAGAAGGATGTTCAAACAAAACCAATTACAGGACTGGTCCTTTAAGTGGCAGTGGACGTGATCCCGATGAGAGGGCCAAGGAGAGTGTGTTTGTGCTTCAAGCAAACTTCTGTAAGCCAGTCATACAGACCCAGAGGGCAGATCCGTGGCAGTCTGACCTGTTTTGGATTTAATATTTACTCATCTGACCAAGCAAAAGGTTTATTAGCCTTGGCAGTGGGATGCCTTTCAAGGTTGTCTGGAGTCACGTGTCCACCCTGCTTGAGACAGCTGGTGCTTTGACACTTGTATGCTTTCCACTAATTTAGGGCAGTTAAGAAGAGACCTCACACTTCTCAAACTGCAACAGGAATATATATTTTTTTTTAAAAGCATTTATCCAAACCTTTTTTTTCTTCAGAGAACTATTTATCCAGTGAGCTCCAACCCTGATAGTTTAAGCAGAATATGTATTTGTTTAATAGAATTCTGTGATGGAAATGTCAGAAATCTAATTTCATGCATTCAAAATACACAACAGTATTTTCACACCTTTTGCACAAAATTACAATTTGATTGGTAATAATGCTGAACAACAGTATTGTTTGCAAGTTCTATTTACCTATTTTCCACTGCACAACCATATTTCATCTAAAGCTCGTCACTGACACTGTGGTAAACAAGTATAATAACTTTTGAGAAATCTTTATTTGGGGCCAAATTTATGACATTTATAGTAAGAATAATAAGAATAATTAATAATACAATTATTATTAATAATAAAAAAATAACAAATAAATAATAAATTATAATATATATCATACTTTAAATTTACCAGTTGAGTTTGGTTTAGAATTTTACAATAGTATTATTAGTATTTTCAGATTACTGTAAATGTAAGTTTCATTGTTTTACTTTTGACACAGTTTTGATGATTTTACACAGCATTTCACTTTCACTGACGCTTTTTACAGTATGTATATATATATACATACTGTAAAAAACATCAGTGAAAGTATATATATATATACACACATAAACTGTAAAAAAAAGTCAGTGAAAGTATATATATATATTATATATACATACATACAAAAAACGTCAGTGAAAGTATATATATATATATATATATATATACATAGATACATACTGTAAAAAAACGTCAGTAAAAGTGAAATGCTGTGTAAAATCATCAAAATTGAGTAAAAAGTCAAACAATGAAACTTACACTTGTGGATATAGTCATATCGATTGATCGCAATTATCGCATCTAATATAAAAGTTTGTTTACATAATATGTATGCACATTGGTGGTGGTTGAGGAGATTCCCCCTTCTATGTAAAGTACTTTGAGTGCCGAGAAAAAGCGCTATATAAATGTAATGAATTATTATTATGTGTATATGGATTTTTATATATATGTCTGTGTATACACACAGACAATATAATAAATATATATATACACACACATTATGTAAACACAGATTTATGTTTGATGCAATTAATAACGATGAATCGATTTGACAGCACTAATATACACACACATATACTGTAGTTTCAATAATAATACACTGTGCCTATGTTCTAATGACTTTCTAAAGATTATTTACACAAAGGGCCATAATATTTGGGAAATACTGACCACTTGTGGTAAAATATAGGATGCACAACATGTACCACAATAAATCAAGGTCTCATTTATTTAAATAAAATCATTTAAAATCAGTCAACACTTTCACATTTTAAAAAACTCCCAGAAAACATTAACACAAAAAATGGATTTATACCACCAAGATATGGGAGAGCAGTGATTGACTGAAATCATGGTTTGTGATAAGTTTTGTTGTACAAAATCTTTTAAGTAATGAGTACTGCGGTTTAAAAACATAAACCATTTTATTCAAACCACTCTCTCAATAATGTTTCCTTTTCCAGTATTTTATATCCAGCTATGCATCCTATTATTATCTATATGCCTTTGTTTCTTACACTGATCTGTAGTCTGAATTTGAAGGCACTCTTCATCAAAAAAGTCACAACTCTTTAAAACCAACTATCTTCTATATGGAAGACATTTGGTCTTTTTGGTATTTAATAATCATGTGTTAAAAGTGCAGTAAATTCCCCAGTGATCACTGGTATAACGTCCACAGTCTAGTTTCTCCATTCCAACCAAGGCCATGTGGTCAGGAGTGACTCCTGGGCCAGTTTTAGCAGACCTAAGGAAGATGCGGTCGAAGCGACATCTGCTGATGTAAGGCACAGTCTTATTGCTGTTTGCTTTGGTGTCCCAGGTGTATCGGCAGTGTTCCTGTTTGCCCAGCTGTTCCCATACGTCGCACACACCTGGAGGCAAACCTCCCACCTTTACCACCTACAGGGACAGAAACATTCTTCAGAAATACTGCATTGCACTAGTGACTTCCACTGCGCTTTCATTCCTTCATCATATTTGGAGTTAAGGTCCTTCCACACTGAGTTCAAAATTTTCGTATGCGTTTTTTCATATTCGTCATTCGGTGGCTCTGAATTGTCAAAACACCCTTCAAAATGCTTGCTACGGATGGGAAAAATGCAGAAAATTGAACCCGATCCGATTTTTTTTATGACGGACGAAAGTTTCAGAGGCAGTGTATAAACGTGACTGACACAACGTGAGGTCTTATTAATTTTTTTAACGTGCGAAAATTTCAGACTCAGTGTGCAGGGACCTTTACTGTGATTGTTAGTCCAGAGTTTTCCAAACAATTTCTCCTATTCACAGGCCCATCAGTAAAACTCAAGTGGCCTTCATCAACACCAAAGCAAAAAATGGGTTAATTTTGACGTGTATTAATAATACAATACATCCTTTCACAGATTTTATTTGTCAACAATTACATTTTATTTTATAGGTTTAACCTGTTAAGCTTCAAGCCCACTTTTGAAAAATCCCCAGAAATCACATACCCAAACTGAAACAGATACAGTTCATGAACCCTTTGCACTAAAAGCACAAGTATGATCTCATTTGAAAGCTGACACCTGGTTGTTTATTGTAAATGTAGAATGAATTATTGTCATAATGAAAAAAACAATTTTAAATAGCTTCAAAGTTTTGTAAAGTTATTAGAAATTTATTTTTATGAAACATCTTTATGAAAATAAAATGGAAGTTGGCCCTGGAGCAATCTAGAAATGCACTGCAGCTAAAGCCACATGTCTGACCATTTTATATTTAAAATCTGAAAATGATAAGTATAAAACTCTGTATTTAGTTAAATGTTTTTCAAGATCATGTCAAATTACTTTATTTTGATTAGACTCTATTAGCAAACTGATGTTTAGTCATCCTCTGAGTCATCTATTCAGTCTATTGTCTCTATTGTTTTGTGGTGCCCCATTCAGTGTCAGTCTCCCCTGTACACATTCACACCTCTCCAGACTGGTTATTATGGATCTAAATATGCATTTCTTTTGTCTGCATTATAGCTACTAACGACTGGCTATTCACAGGCTATTCATAGGGTTTCAAACCCTAATTTCTTTTATCAAAATTCTCACTAAATATTTGAAACTGGTATCAAATGCACTGAAACATTTCAGTAAGCATTCCCATTTAGAAAAAAATCATAAAACAATAACTGCTCGTGGCAGGTGCGCCTGGGCTCGCTAGCATGTTAGCTTAGCACACCATCAATACACGACCATTTATGAGATTAAAATTATGTTTGTGCTCCAAACTTACTATATAACGCAAGTCTAGTGTTTTAAATAATCTTCTGTGATCTAACTTGGCTTCATATTAAAAAAAAATCCGACAGAAAATGTATTATTTAGTGTTCTGAACGATGATGAAATCTATATCGATTAGCATTACATTATAAATATAATCTATTATTATGAAATACCTGGCATGGCTTGAAGAACACAGGTAACTCAAATATCATTGCAATCATGTTTATTGTTTTCAAAACATCTTTATCTGCATGTTACAGCGATCTCTGTCAGCTACTTTCTGTATCACTCAGTGACGTCCTGGAATGTCACATGACTATGGGTCTTCTTCATGATCCATATATGGACTTTTATTGGACATAATAGCGCCCCCATGCCATTGGTATGAATGGAAAACACAGCACATCTCAGTAAGAAGCGATCATAACTTACATCGACGCATTTGGGTATAAATTCAATAAATATTATTCCTGTCTATAGAAATATGATGTGAATCTATGAGAATATATCAATATTTCTCCACATCTGCACATTGTTGAGCTAAAAGCCCTCAGGGACGTTGTTTTGTGAATCGCTGTCATGACGACAGCACGGAGTGTTTTTTATGAATGGACCAGCTGACGCTCATAATTCATATTAAAGGTATCGACTCATTGTTTTCATTTCATAACTCCTGACACAAATTAAGACATAACTGTCACTATAAGTTTCTCAGAATACAATAGTGGTCAAATACTGAATCTTGAGGCTTATATCTTTTTAATGATGTATAGTTTGTCAAGGTATAACATTAAATCTGATAGTATATTTGAACTAAATAAATAAAAAAACGCTTCAGTGCGCCGACGCTCTGGAGACGGTTATTAACCAAAAAAAATTCAAAAATCATTCCAAGTATACCAAAATGAAATCATAATTTAAGTTCAGTTAAGTTTAAGTTAAACAAACTCATAGTTAAATTTATATTTTTTTCAGGTTAAACAAACTCTGTGTACCACTGGTTGAGAATCACTGATCTAGTTCATGTGGTGAATTTTAAAGACTTAAATTTACCTCAGTGTCTCTGAGATTAGTGTCTCCAGCAAAAATAACAGTGGCATCTTCTGGTGCTTCTTTTATCTTTTGAAGTATGACCCGCAGTTGTTTCATTCTCTCCTCTGATTGGTTCTTACAGCTTTCTAAATGTGATGTCATCAAGTACAGCTTTTTACCGGAGAAAGTCACCTTAATAAGAAACCAAAGAGTCAAAAAAGAAATGGATGTGTGTATAAATGATGAGAAGCAAATTAATTATGAGACACACCAACCTAGAAATCTAAATATTAATGTATACACACACTACTGGTCAAAATTTTGGGGTCAGTTTAAAAAAAAAAGAAGAAAGAAATGAATACGTTTATTCAGCAAGGATGCATTAAATCAATCAAAATTGACTTGTTGTAATTGTAATGCCATTTCATATTTGATCACATAAATGCAGCCTTGGTGAACATAAGAGACTTCTTTCAAAAACATAAAATCTTACCGACCCCGAACTTTTGAATGGTAGTGTAATTCTGATTCCATTAATAAATACACCTATACCATTATCTCCCCAAACAATCTTTGGATAGCACTTATAAACCACAAACTCACCTGAGCAACCAACAGATTTCTCAACATTTGTGTTGTAGGATAACTGATGATCTCACTTTCCAAAAGTTTTACTCTTGATTTCTTCAACATTATTGCCGTGAAGTAACCATCATCACTCCCTTTAATGACAGGAGAACTTCATGAATCAGCAAATAACCCATAAATAACTTCACTGAGATTAGTCTCGTACCTTCAACAAACAGGTAGCTGACAGCACGTTTCTTAAGATACTGAATGTAAGTTGGAATGAGTTCTTGAAGAAAAACCACATCTGGTGTATATCTACAAATGAACAACAGATAAAAGGAAACTAAGAGTAAAACAAAACTCCCTTATTGTCACATAATACATTAAATAGAGGACATCAGGGGTCTCTAAACAACTCACAGAACTAGATATGAGCACAAGCCCCTGGCACGCTCTGCAAGACTTAATGTGTCCAAACCATCCACATTCCAGCTGATGATGGAGAGCTTGCTGTCCTCAGCATCAGATTCGGTTACGCCACTTTCAGCCGGACTTTTCTTCAAATTCACACTGCTGGAGCAAGTGGGTTCCTCTGCTGTCAAGTCAATGCTGTACAAAAAAAACAATTTGGAAAATTGAGAGAAAGAAAGAGAAAGAAAAAAAGTCAGCATGAAATGTGCACAGATAAATAACAGGTAATAAATACTGCAATATTTTTTTTAATTCATTGTGACTTTATACTTTTAATTAAAACTATTCCAGACTAACTTAAGTTTGCTAATTAATAGTATAGAGTATTTTGACCATTACCAATCCACCTTATCCGTCTTAAATTTCTTCTTTGTTCCAGAAGTATCAGCAGTGTCAGAAGAATTCACCCCCTTTCTCTTATTCCCAGGCACATATTTAGTTTCTTCTGTGTCTTCAACATCAAAGACTGAATCCATATGAGCTTCAAAGAAAGAGTTCAAGGCTCTCTGGCAGGGACACACAAATAAATAAACAAGAACCTCGTTAATTACACATGCTATACTCAATCTAATGGCTTAATGGGAAACTTTACCCATAAAGTGAGTTTATAAGGTGCAGTAATATAGACATACCTCCATGTCCCATTCATTTTCTGCTAGATAACACTGCGCCACGGCACTATCCGATCCAGAGACAGAGGCAAACTGATCGCAAAGACTCGTCCTCGTTTCCTCTAAAGCAGACATTGGTTGATCCTTGTGGTTGCCTGTCATTACAGTGCTGGACATGTTCGTGGTTGAATATAACGGCGGGATATGAATGTGTACAGCTACAAAAACATTCCGGGTGGATCCCGGAGAATACGGATAATATATCGATATTTACATATGCTTTTGGTCACTGGGGATACTTTATTTACACGTTACTATAATCACGAGCTCAAAGTATTATAAACTTAATTTTCACAGTAAACGTTGCATCTTTTTAACCGAAGAATTTGCATTGTTCAAAGATGGTTTCCGGAAGAATTTAACGGTAGTACTAAAAGAATCGGTTCTTTCGAACAGTTGTTTCAAAAACGATTAACCTTCCATGCACGAATAATATATTGATCAATGTGTAGGCACGTGTATGCCAGTAGTTTGTTGCAGCCATGAATTGGAGCATAAGACATTTAGAACCGAAATATAATTAGCATTAACATTAAAGTGTTTTAAGAATTCTAAAATAAAGTGTGTTGCCTGAAAAGTTCAAATTGATTCATTCATATTGAACGAATCATTCAGAACGACTTTGTAAAACGAATCAGCAGATTCATTGAAAAGACCCGATCCATTATTTTATAATAAAAGTCCGCACAGCCGAATAGTATGTCTTAGCTTCTAAAACTATTTTTGGTTGATTAACGTTAAATCTTTACATTTTGTTTACCTATTTAGCATAGTATAGTGAAAATGTACACATTTTTCTCGGCAGCGGAGTCTAGCTGCCAGCGCTTTTGAAGACACACACACACGGAAATAGCACCTTTACAATTGTTTCAATAAATAATTTACTTTGTTCCTTACACCGTGTCTGTTTTCTTTGGTTAGCCAGAAGTAAAATTAAATAAAATTATATTCAGGGGACTAAACGCGAAAGTCCCATAAACGTCCCGAATGGCCGCTGGTGGTCCTGGGAACGTCCTCTTGAACGTCCGGAGGACGTCTTCGCGAAGGTCCGCAGGACATCAAGCGGACCCTTCGGGGGGACGTTCGCACAGGCCATTTAGGGGACGTTCTGGGGACCTTTTTTTGTTAGCTGGGAAATGCCTTAACCTCTTAAAATATGAACACTCTTATTTTGTATAACATTTAGGCAACCTTTCAAATATAAAGGCTGATTTATACTTCTGCGTTGGACCTACGCCGGAGCCTCTACGCTATACACTACACGTTGGTTTTCTTTTATACTTCTGCGTCGCGCAATTACACATGCAGAGCGTATGGCGAGTGCCACGGATAAACCTTCCGAAGGTGACAGTCGTGTACTTTTACGTGAGAGAAGGGGTACGTCGCACCACAGACGCGTGAAACTAAAGCCCAATTTATACTTCTGCGTCGAACTTACGCCGTAGCTACGGTGTAGGCTGTGCGTAGCGCGCGTACCCTCCGGCATATGGCGAGTGGATAGTGCCACAGATAACCTAACAAAGGAGACTGGCGTGTGACAGCTACGTGTGTGGATGTGGATAGGCTACTCCGTCAGTGCACAACGTCGTCGATAAGCCCGTCGCCGTCAGGTAGGGATGGCTGACGCGAAACAGACGTTCCGAAGCTTTGCGAGATCCCGAAGCGCAGATGATTCGAAACACTGATCCGAAGCGTGATTCAAAACACCCACGTCACGTGACTACGGCTAAATATAGACAGATAGATTAATAGATAGATACATAGATTATTAGATAGATAGATAGATAGATAGATAGATAGATAGATAGATAGATAGATAGATAGATAGATAGATAGATAGATAGATAGATAGATAGATAGATAGATAGATAGAAATGGAGGCTCCACAGAAGAGATGCCGTACATATGTGGTGTGGGAGCATTTCCATTTAGAAACCCCAAATAAAGTGAGATGTGTGTATTGTGATGGGCAGTTAGCCTACTGCAACAATACATCATCCATGATACGCTATTTGAGAAGCACTCATCCTGCCATTCTGCAGGGTGCAGAGGATAGCATCCCCCCTAGGCCTGCTACTGACACTGCTGGGCCATCTAAGCAAGGTATGCATTGTTTGAAATATAGGCTAATTATAATTGAAATATAATAACAAACTGTTGGGACACTGTTTAGAAAGTCCATAGGCCAAGCCCTACCTCACGTCCCAATCACAACTGCCAATCAAGTTAAAACAGCTTTACTGTGAATATAATATATGTTGTCAATATAATATATTTTGTGAATATACATTTTATAGGTCTACATATGAGTACCCAATCTACAGCCAAGATATAATTTTGTTTTTTTCTAATTGTAGTAGTTCTACAATCCACTTTATCTTTCTCTGCACACTGAGCATACATATTCATAACATAACTTTGTTTAGGAAGGTTTCCAAATAATGAACCAGTAGGCTACTTTCACAGTAGGCTACTATTTTTCCAATATATTTGTGCCGTCAGTTTAGGATTTGTTACTAATTGCTGTTTTCATTTTCATTCAGAGCCACAAATGTCAACATCAGGCCCATCATCATCATCATCATCATCAACACCAGTTGAAACACATTACAGTTTATGGGTACATTTTCATAATCGTATCCGTGAAACCCAGATGATACACAATGCTACAGCTGATGCCACAGTAGAAGTGAAAAAATACCTCAACGATGCGTTTTTGCCCAGAACTCATGATCCCCTAACTTACTGGAAAGAGAGAGCAGTAATCTTTCCTCATTTGTATGTCCTTGCTAAAAATATATATTTGCATGCCAGCAACAAGTGTTCCTTGTGAGAGCATTTTTTCAAAGGCTGGAGAAATTATCTGTAAAAAAAAGAAGTAGGCTGAGTCTTTCGACAGCAGAGAAATTAATATTTTAGAATAAAAATCTATAAGAAAGTGAGACATTGTGGCTTGATTTCTTTTATTAATATTCATTTTGCATGAACAAAATAACATTATGCAATGTGAAGAGCCTACAGGTTACAAGCTTCACATATTAGAAAAATACAATAATAAAAAAAAAAAAAACACATTTTTTTATGGCTCATTGTAAAGGTTGTTTCAGATCAACACCTGCAAGTGACCACTAGGTGTCGCCGTGGAGACGGGTGTCGGATTGATTCGAAGCCTCGAAACAATATGGCACATTTGCTTCAACTGTTTCAAGCAAGGGGGTAATCCATCGACCGGAAGTTGAAGTCGGCCGGGTGCCGCCATCTTGTAGCAGAACTTCACTTGCCGTAGCATTTCCATTGACTCCCATTCATTTTGGCGTCACTTTGACAGCGAATAACTTTACATCTGAGGCGTTTAAAGACTCCATTTGTCCATTATTTATTTCTAAAGAAACACGACAATGTATAAAAGGCTCCATTCCCTTCTATGTTACGTTATGGCCCCGTAGAAACAGATTTAGTAAAAATAGGCTAACGATTGCGTCATAACCACTCGACTCTCTGTCGCGCTGTACAGAAATTACCGTATAGACAGAAGTAGAAACTCGCGCGCAATCGGGGGGACGTCGAGGCATAAAGTCAAGGGAGAAGCCCATAGAGAGTTGTAAAGTTGCTCCTGCTGCGAGCTCATGGACAGCTAATACTCACGATCTCCGGCTCTGCAAGTTTCGGAAGGGAATGATTCAGATTCCTCTTGGCACAGCTACTAGAAGATTAACGTCTGTCAGACAGGTTGCTCACGTCATCAAGCTTAGTTTGAGTCGGTTTGAGTCTGCGCGTCAGGAACGGAAGTGCTCAAAAATCGCTAAAAATGGGCTTCAACTGTCTCAACTGACTTCCAATGAGATGGCTCTGTCCATTTCTTTTACTGTCTATGGTTTCAAGCATGGGTTTCAAGCATAGACATTCTATATGATGTCTATGGTTTCAAGCCTCGATCTGCCCACCACTACCGTCAGGCTTAATTTTTTTTTTTTCAAACTTCAAACTTCGACTTCTTCTTCTTTTTTATTGGCAGTTGGCTAACTAGCTGAGAGGTGCATTAGCGCCACCAACTGGACTGGAGTGTGGAACCAGAGATTATACAGGAGTACAGGCCTAAATGCTCCAGCCTTTTAGTCATTAAAAGTGTTGCTGTAAAATTAAATTTTACACAGAAATTTAAAAGGACGGTAATCTAATGGATATTTATTCGAAGATATTACAGTATTTCTGAATTGCTAAAACACATTTTTTTAATGTTTCTCTCGCTTTCTCAAAACCTTAAACACAAATCTCCAAACTTAAGCTACACTGTCAAAACCTTTGACTTGTCTGGCTATATCAAACAATTGCTTCAGAACTATGTTATCTTTACCCAAAACCAAACACTGTTTTCAGATAACACACACATCCAGCTAATGCATAAACACTGCACAGCAGTCATTACACACTACAGAGATAAATGCAAAACACTGCACTCAGGGCAGAGCAGGGGAAAAATTATATTTATTATGAAGTACTTGCACAATCCTGCACACATATAAATGTAGTCACAAACAAAATATGCAGCAGATCAATAGCAAGCAATGTTTTGGAATCAAATTTCTCTCAAATGAAGGACCATATTGACAATAATGGTCTCCTGCTGTTGTGAGAACATACCTCTCCTTCCACCGGCATGTTACAGTCTTTCAATTCTAGCAAATAAAACCTCTTGTTAGAATTGTACAGACAGGCCTAATGCATTGAAATGTCACCAAATATGTACAATACATAAAATACTATTATTTTTATGTAAATTGAAATGTCACCAAATATGTACAATACATAAAAAACTATTATTTTTATGTAATACTACTATTAGTTTGAATGTAATACTGCAAGAAAAGGGCCAATTTTTTTAGATATGTTACAGTAATTTACTGAGATGTCCCACAACTGCACATACTGTACTGTAAGTTTGAGGGAGCACAAATGATAGTACACTTCCCTGTTCTTCTCTGAATGTCCTCCTGACAATGGAGGCCACAGAGAACCTGCTTATATTTGGTTGAACATGTAGTCCTGCTTCCCTCATACTCATCCCATGAACCAGAACATGGTGTATGATTGTTTCTCTAATTTCATTGGAAATGATGGCTCTTGTTCTTCCTCCTCCTCCTCTGTCTCTTCCTCTTCCTCCATCTCTTCCTCCTCCTCCATCTCTTCCTCCTCCTCCA